TTAGTTTTTGGCGAAGGCCGTTCTGAAGATACGGGACAAAATGTTATGCATAAAATAGTATCATCATTATAACTGAAAATATCACGAGCTTTGAATTTGGTAATATACTATCAGAAGTGCATAGTCAGACCCTAAGTGTTTCAAAAAAGGAGGCTTTTACTTTAAAAAAAATACAACTTTTAAATTTTTAAAATAATAACTTTCAAAAAAAAAAAACAAAAACAATACACACAAATAACAAATAACAATATAATAATATATATGCATCTAAAAGTTGAGTTTTGGATAATAATTTTGATGTTGACATATGTGTATCCAATTCTCTAAGGCAGTGGGTACTTGAATTTTTTTCCCATAAAATACAGTTACTATTTAAAATTGGAAAGAATAAAGATACCTATTAATTACGTTTTGACCTATTAATATTATCGAAATTACATTACTATTATCATCATTAATTTTGCAATTAATTTGATTGTATATGCAATTATTGCATAAAAATGCAAACGTAATAAAAAGATTAGATGTCGCAACAGTATCAAATAAAATGCCAATGACTGACTTACTTATTTTACATTTATTGAAAATAACTAATGTTCAATTTATTTCAGGTAATCTCTATGCGATATCTAGTGATTTGTACAGGTATATATAAAATTAATCGTTTTAGTAATTGGAAAATAGAAATCATAGTAATCATACTAAATTTATAAAAGATAAGATATTACATTATAGTAATAATATTCAATTATACTAATGATCGAATTAAACGTAAAAATCTGAATAACTATATATTGTCATTTTAATAAGTCATATTAAATTGAAAGGAATCTTCTTTGATGCAATTCTGTCTAGCAAAGAGCTATTAGATTGGTTTCATATCACAAGGGTTATTAATGCTCCGTATAGAAATAATTAATAAGCTCATATTTTCATAATTATATTCCTCTTATGATTAATTCTAAAAGCTTAAAAATCTTAATTCTTTAACGATAACATATATGCATGCATTACTTATTTCTGATCTTGGCGGCGCACATGCATTTCGGAAACTGGTCAATGCCAGAATCTATGCTAAAAATGATGTGATTTAATTAATTAATTGCGAAATGTTTATTTATGCCGGATTATAAATATTTTGATTACTGATCCAAACAATGAACAGAAGATTAATGAATTCAATGATAGTGTTTAGTACATTATGCTACATTGTTAATAAATCAAATTTAAAATAACAACTCAATAAGTTCTTCATTACTTTGCAAATTGAATTTCAAAAAAGTTAAATTAAATATTTCATTTACAAATTAATTTTCCTATTAATGTTAAATGAATTTGATTGGTTCTATATTGACTCTTCAGGATTTTTGCGAAATTATTGAAGGGTTATTATATTCTTCTTCAAGGACTTAATAAATTTTGATATTTACCACGACAAATTTAGAAAATTATTACAATTCTTCACTCGGTTCACTTGGTAGGTAACGTCCGAAAGAGTGCAGGGTGCAAAGGGTTACAATAAAATATTATTAGTAGTCCCAAGCTCTATTCATTAGATGAATCTTTAGATTTTAGAAATACCCCTTCGAAAGCAATGGACACAATTTTTAATCGATTTTTCAGATTATCCGCCAAATTAAGAAGTTACCATAGAAGCATATCCTAGAAGCATTTAATTTAGTTATTTTTGGTAGAGATTGACTAGAATTTATAATGCTAGAGTCGGGTGCATGCAAAAATAAACTTAGTTTATTTAATGACGACAGCTGTCACAGAGCAACGATATTGTTATCAAATTCTGGCAACTGTCTTCAGTGTCCACTGCGTTCTTGTGCACGTTATTCATCGAAGATTTTTAAAGCGCAATTATCAATTTGCCAACAACTCTTATCAATTCGGCACAGTTATGTGCAAGGCAGAATGTCCTACATTTCAGTACTTGAATTTTCCAAATAAAATAAAATTAAGATGCACCTTAAAACTATCGTCACCACGTAACCTTCTAACTTCACAAAGTAGAATTTTATGTTTTCGGCAGACAACTTGCTTAATCCATGTTTTCAAGTCGTTCAGAATCGTTTGAGGCCAAAATTAGAAACAATATGCGTGTGTTTGTGAAACAATTGTTATACAATTACAAATATTATAAGTATGTATGGAAGATATCAGAAGGCAATCGCATAGATTAAAAACTAATCAAATTAAAAAATAAAGCGAAAACTTTATTTTCAAAACAAAGAATTGAAAATGTTAACTAAATAACAAATAATTAGAAGATGACCAAGACCAAATGCTGGTTTATCATTATTTTAAACAATAGAGTAATCTCTATATGGAGCTGTATTAAAGTAACCACGTCACGTCCCGGTTCGGCAGGGACAGCCCCGGATTTGCCGGATTCCTCTAAAAGCAATATGTCGCCGGATTTAGATCTTTTGTGGCTGATTTTTAATAAGTTTAGGCATAAATTGAATCTTTGCAATTACTTGATAATGAAATTAGAACTACTCATCAACTATCTGAAATTGATATATTCAATGAGTATGCTTACCCATATGAAACAATAAGTTATGAATGAGAAAATTACCGAACTAAAAATTTCCAAAGGCGGGTTGAAATAGAATCCTACATTAATAATTTCAAACTTTCATTTTCAATTATGCAAAAATTAACAAAAATTATGAGAAAAAACTATTTGACTGCTTGGCGCAAGTGCTAATTTTCACTAAGTTAATTATGAAAAAAAAATGAATAAAATTTCATATAAAGCCTAAGTGCAAAAAATATATAGATAAAAAAATCTAATATTATAACTTATAATCGAATAAAAAAGTTATTACTAAACATCATTAATTCTGTACAAAAAACTAGATTCATTAAAAAAAATTTTATCCTTATTTTTATTGCACCCTTGAATGGTATTTGTTGAATCATATTTAAGTCATTTAGCATCATCCCCCATCTCGGACATAAAAAATAGAGTCACCAAGGTGACTCAATTAAGCTTAATTGAATGCAATACCTTGTCACTAAGGTTTTCCAAGAGCTTGGTATTTATGAAACAATATTTACAAGATATAATGTAGCAAAAAAAATTTTTTTAATCCATTTTCACTGTGATCAGTTAATGAAAACAATGAGCAAAAATTGTGAACAACATTGAGAAAGTTCAGTAGAGAATCTACTACGAGTATAATATAAAACAAAAATGTACCAAAAAATATAAAAGTTTTTCAAAACATTAACTATATGATTTATAAGAGAAAATTATCCCAAGATAATGCATAGAAGTAATGGCAATATCAATAGAGCTAATGAGAATTCCATCATCATTCTAATAATAATGGAGATATTTAATAAATCGAAATTATAAGTTTGAAAGAAACTATTCTACTACTTACTATATACTACATATCTCTTACAAATTGTAGTTAGTAAAAATATAAATAAATCTCACGCAATGAGTAATAAACCATCCGAACCGAATTGGCTTACGCGTGTTTGAGTTGCAACTAAAAATACATGATACATGGGCCGTTCGGCATTACCTTGTATTAACTAATATTAGCTGACATCAGGAAGACAAAATATATACAAATATACAAAAATCTATCGAAGCATGCGTGAATTACATAAACAGGATGATAATTTTTTATATATATCACAAGCCATCCTTCAAACTCGGACACCACCAATGACGCGCTGTGGAATTTAAAAATAACTTAATATTTCGAACAATATATATATATATATATATATATATATATAAATATATAAATATATATATATATATAATATACATATATATATATATATATATATATATATCAAATTGAAAACAGATTAGAAATAATAAAGTTCAGTTATTTTATTCAATACTCCAATTTTATCCAGCAGAATATTAATGTGTTCCGGATCCTATCACCACGGAGTTTCTAAGTCAATATCTATTCAAAGTAGTCGATTAAAGCCTTAAATTAAAGAAACTTCTCGTAAGTTTCTTTGCCTAATTTTTGTATCACAATAATGAAAAAACGATTCTATTAGTATATAAGTATGGAAGCGTGGTCCATATTAAATACCAAAATGATAGACAATGATAAATTTCATAAAATATTATTTATATTTCGTTTATTTTATATATGATTAATATCCACGACACTATGTGTTGTCATACTGATCATTAATAAAACGTTATTGGTATTTTCTTATTTATAATAGAAAAGAAAGGTTTCAAGAATTATACATTTTAGGCAAATTCGACTAGGGAGAAACAAAAACCAAGTACGATCTGACACTTGAATTTATTTTTGTTTTTTTTCTGTGCTGTCAATATATGGGCCAATCTGTCCAGTAACATGTGATGCGTGTTGACAAGCCGCGATGCGTGTTGGCAACCCGCTACATAAGTACATATACTTATGGCATATTATTCGGCTTTTTCAAAACTTTAGTAAAAAATCAAAATAAATTTCGGTAACACTGGCCACTGCACCATCATTCTAACTAAATGATAATGCAGTAAAGTCATGTAATATATTAACAATATTAGATAATACGGCATTTTATCAATAACATATGTGATTTTTCTCAATTTATTATAAATCATACATTTAGGCTGTATCATTCCTTCAGTGGAAAATTAGCTTATCCTTACATAATAAAATAGAATAAAAACCATGTTAATAAGGCTCCAGTTTAAATGTATTTTTTTCACAAAATTACGTGTTTTTAAATTAGTTTCAATTATCTTTAACGCTTCTATTAATTTTAATGTATATATTTGTATTGTTTTCTTTTCAATTTGTAGTCTCCTGAAGATGACATAGAAACATATGTCGAAACGTATAAAAATATTAAAAAATATTATAAATAATTTTCATATATATATATATATATATATATATATATATAATATCAAAACTCGCGCCTTTCTCTTTGTACGTTGGTACATCTTGAGATAAATTAAACATATGTATTTGTAAATATACATATCTGACAGCAGATAAAGAATGCACAGTGTATATAAGCACTGGAAAAATACATTTTTGTAAAGTATTAATTATATTTGTGATTAGTCCACTTCTACCAATAAGTTTTTTGTCAAAATGGTAAGTGCTGTTTATACTGCATTTTAATATAGTCCATTCTCTTTATATACTCTTAAAATGTTTGTCATGTTTTATTTGTCATTCTCATGACATTGAAATATTACAAGTTTATTTTAGTAGTAAATAAAAACTTCCAGGTTACTTATATTTGAAAAATGCGCCTTTATCAAAAAATTTGAAACTTATTTAATGGGGTCATTTCCGGTAAGGCTCGCCGGTATAACTTTACGTCCGGTTATATTTTCAAAAAATGTATCAAAATTTATAAATATCATAGTTCTGCTTAATATATGCAGGTTTTAATTATTTATTTACCACACATTGAGCATTTTAATATCTCTGCTAACAAGTAAGATAATTTCATGTCAAGGACGACATTTGAACATAAAATTTTATGTATGTATGTACTATATACATATATACTTGGGATTTAAATATGTTTATATTTAATATGTATATTTAAATATGTTTCTAAGTGAAAGTAGCCCTACCAGGTCATTGCCCGGTCAATAAAATGAATATAGCTAATATTTTAATTAATTCTTATAAATGATTCAAATATAGGTAGGTTAACCGTTGGGTTACCATCTAAATTCCAATTAAAAAAATGAACTCCAGCAACTCATAGGCGTGTGCCAAAGGTATTTTATAAATATTCAGTTACTGTGTATTGCAATTTTAGCGCAATAATTAATAATTGAATATTTTGTATTTAGCTAAATTTAAATAACTATAAGTTATTCCGTTTCGGTTTCGTAATAAACATGAGCGTCGATCTTACAAAGTTAAGTTACTGTTGAAAGAATTTATGAAACATAAATGCTCTGTTTTCAGGCTCAATACAACTTCAGAGGATTTATGGCACCGGTGTTTACAGCTTTCAACAATGACGAGTAATATTCACATTTCTTATATATAGTCTAAACATAAAATGCATAAACAAAATTAAAAAAACGAAATTAATCGGTATTTAACTTTCGGCTATATTTTTTTGCTAATTACACTTATGATATAATCACTTTTAATCATTTATAACTAAAACAAATATTTAAATATTCATAGAAATACAATGCAAAAATTATTTTTCAGTAATAGGAGTATCAACATTGATGTCATACCCACATACGCCGATTATTTATTAGAATGTGGAATTCACGGAATATTAGGTAAAGAAAAATAAATATTGTCTAGATGCAGTAAAAAATGAAATAAAATCTAGATGTAGTAATTTATATCGATCTCAGTGAATGGTACAAGTGGAGAAGCTATGAGTATGACCGTGGCAGAAAGGAAAATCTGTGCTGAAAAATGGTCTCAAGCTTGCAAACGAAATGAACAATCGTTAATGATACAAGTAGGAGGCGCAGCATTACCCGACGTTCTTGAAATGGTAATACTTTACAAAAAATTTAATATTAAATATAATATATGATCCAATTGCGTTTCTTACTTCGGTTAAAACAGAAAGGATCAAAGGTCTTTATCAATGTTTCTCTTTACAAATATACTATTTACTCCAGGCTGCGCATGCAGAGTCTCTAAATGCAGATGCCATCCTGTGTCTGCCTGAATTGTATTTTAAACCTACAAAAACTCAACAGTTGATCGATTACATCAAACTTATCAGTGCCGCTGCGCCCAAAACTCCGATATTCTATTATCATGTACCAATGTTTACTAATGTAACAAGTACGTCAATATTTTATGTTCCATTCATAATACCAATGCATGATAAACATTAACTTAATGATTGCTTATTATTTGCTTAGACAACATGTTATCACAATTTGAATAATACTTTGCACTTTTCAGTCAATATGGTCGAATTCATGCGTGATGGTATGATGCAAATCGAAAATCTCCGTGGAATGAAATTTACTTCAACAAATTTAGAAGAGGGTGCGGCATGCTTGACACTAGAAAAAACACCAATAGTTTTTCTAGGTGCTGATACAATTATGGCAGGAGCATTTCAGTTAGGATTTGATTCTGTAATAGCTACTACTCTCAATATGATACCTAAACCAAGTATAAATATGATGAACCATGTAAGAGATGGCAACTCGAGTATGGCTCTGAAATGCCAGAGAAAACTTACTGAAGCTGTTGATATAATTACTAAAAATGGTAAGCAAATGAGTTTCTGAATAAAAACCACAGTTCGTGTAAACTGGTTGTCTCAATTTATGCATTCAAGCTTATGGATTTTAATTTTTAACTATAGAATTCTGTATTTATGGTAGTTAAGTTTGAAAGAGTCAAAAAAATAATAAAAACTTTGCTGTTTTACAGGTTCTTGGGTTTCCACAATGAAAGTAGCAATGAATTTAATGACTGACTTAGAATTTGGGCAACCTAGAGCTCCTCTAGATATTTTATCAGATAAGCAAATTAAACAGATGCAAGATGAATTGCAGCATGCTGGTTTCTTGAAGAATTAATTATGTAATATAAATATTTTTATAAATTGTATTTCTGCTTTATATCTTTCTGATGTTATTTTATTACCGCATTTACTAAATATTTCTTGATAAAATTATAAAACTTATTTGTGTTTTTTGAGCTATAAATGAATTTAAATAAAATATAAACTACCATAGTAATTATAAAACTCTACAATCACAACAGAAATTCTTATATAATATTTTAAAAAATCTGTTAATGGTCGATATTTTTCAGTATTTATTAATTCACATTATAAAATGTTTCATACAAAATGAAATTAAATATTTAAATATTACTTAAATTAAAAATATTGCATTCACAGTAGCTGTTGCATCAAATTTAATTAGAATATCAGAAGAACGATCTCATAAATGCTTTCTGATCTGAAAGTAATATACGAACAAAAATTGTTTTCATACGAAGTATCAATAGTATTAATATGATTGGTACAAGCAAAATTTCACTATTTACTATAGCTCATGTATACATATCAAAATTGTAATATTGCAAATACTTTTTGCATACTAAATTATAGAAGGCAGCTTAAATAATTTTTTATTAAAAGTACAACATTCATACTATCAATTATTTTAGACAAAAACAAATATTCACCATATATTACCTTATTTATCAAAAATGCATTTAAAAGTCTAAAATATGTGCTTAAAATAGCAAAATACACATTTATCAGTACCCAACCCTTGCATAATATCCCAATGATTTTCAATTTGCTAGCCCATTGAAAATCCTCAATTAACAAATGTGATTTGCCATTATATCGTACTGTAAAAATCCATAAAAAACATCAAATTAAACAATTTGTTTATCAAATTTTGATACAGATAAGAAAAGTTTAAATAATAACGTACCTTGTGTAGAATAGGTTTTTTTTTTTAAATGAAGGCTTCCCAATTATATATACATATCATTAGTCAAAGTATTGAACATTTTGACAACCAACTTGGTGGCTTTCGATTAGGTTCACTAGATTTCAACATATGTGTGCCACCGCTTTTCGGAGGATAACTTCCTTCCTGTTTATTAAAATTTTTATTAAATTATTAATAAAACTTTAACAAATGCAACAAAGAATCTTTTCTCAAAAGGCATGATAATTAATTTTGTCAATTATATAAGCCACAATATATTTCAGAGTGTTGAAGTAATAATACCAATGGCAAACAGCAGTATATAATATTATAGTTTACATTCGCAAATACACACATCAATGCAATGTATTCAAAACTCAAACTAAATATAAAACGTAACTCAAGAATAATCTAAACTGCCAATTATAATTTTTTGTAATAATTATAACTGTTTGCTATTAATTAATGACACCATTGCATGTTGATTTGATTAATGTATGCATACAAAATATTAGCACATTCAGATGCATAAAAATGCAGAAAACAAATGGCATGCTTGAATGCATTTAGTAGCATAAAAACTAATTTTGAATCGAAAATACTAAAAATAAATCTCAATCAAATATATTATAGAAAACTATGTTTTCTAAACAACATATAAAAACAAAAATAATGTATATAGATTTACCTTCTATATCATTTCAGGAGCATAGAAAAAAGGGTTTATGAGAAAATTTATAGAATTCTTATAAAATTATATATATATATATATATATATATATATATATATATATATATTTAAAGGCAACTTCCAATCTTACCAATTTTTTTTCTAACTTTGCTTTCATATCTCTAGCAAGTGTAAAAAAGGCCTCTTCAACATTATAGCTAGTTTTTGCAGATGTTTCCATAAATTTTATTCCATATTCAATTGCCAACTGTTCACCTCTCTCTTTTATAACCTAACACAAATAATAATTAGTATTATCAAAGGTAAACAGTAAAATATATATCATTTAAACTCATATTTACCTGTCTTTTATCATCAAGTTCACACTTATTTCCCAATAACATTTTCTCTACATCAGCTGATGCATTTTCTTCTATATTTCGAATCCAATTTTTAATGTTCTCAAAACTTTTTTCATTAGTTACATCATAAACTAGCATAATACCCATGGCACCTCGATAATAAGCTGTTGTTATTGTTCGAAATCTTTCTTGGCCCGCAGTATCCCTGAAAAATTTTAAGTGTACAAGTGTTATTTCAGATATGAGCAATATGTATGATCTACGTGAATTGAATTTTATATTATATACCATATTTGTAGCTTAATTTTTTTTCCATCTAATTCAATTGTCCGGATTTTAAAGTCAATACCTGAAATAGAATATTACAAACAATCAGATATAGGAAAAAAGATGGGGCAAGCTAAATTTATTGAACTGAAATAAATTAAAAATAAAACTATATAATAAAAGATTTTTAATTAAATGTCTACAGTTTGAAGATGATTATCATAAAATACAGGTATATTTCCATTATGAATCACTTTTGACATTTGACATATACATACCGATGGTAGAAATAAATGTAGTATTGAAAGCATCCTCACTGAATCTAAATAAAACACATGTTTTTCCAACACCTGAATCACCAATCAATAATAATTTAAATAAATAATCATACGTTTTTGCCATCTTTTTTAAATAATCATAAATAATTCAGAAAATAATACTACTAAAACGCCTGGCAAAAATTGGTAATATGTTGGTAATACTTGACTTGGCTGGTTGGCAACGAGTTGATAGTTGATAGTAATTATCATAGACACCAACAATATAATTTAAAATATAAAATTTTCAAATATTATTTTACGTTCTTTAAATTTCATGACTATGAAACTTATATCTTTATTTAAAATCAAACTTTATAAAAGGAACAATTTATTTCAAGCTCCTTCTGATAATTTTCATTACTAATTTTTTTACGCTACGGGTAAATCAACATGAGTGACAGCTGTCAAAATCACTAACAAAAAGAGCTTTCACCGATCTTGGCGTTATTATATTTTGTAATTAATAATAATTAAGAATACTAACGAAAAAACGAGTAAATTTCGTTAAATATTTTTGTATGTTTAACGAACAATAATAAAAATATTTTTATTTTAGAAATGAAAAGGGAGGATGGTCAAATGGGCCCTTTGACTAGTACCGGTGCCGCTGAGGAATTTTCTGTTGAAAAAATTTTAGATAAAAGAATTAAAAATAGTAAAGTTGAATATTTGCTTAAATGGAAAGGATATTCAAAGTAATTTCTTTATAAACGTATTTAACTAAACCATTTTACTATAATCATAATAAATTTTAGTGATGACAATACTTGGGAACCCGAAGAAAATTTAGATTGTCCACACTTAATTGCAGCTTATGAAGATTTACGAAGAAAAAAAATGATGAAAGATGAGAAGAAAAGAAAACATGATGATCTGCCAAAAAGTAAGGAAATAAAGAAGAGCAAAGATATTGAAGTAAGGAAAACATAGTCTACAAATACTTTGAAATAATTTAAATACTTGTTTTAATATCATGTTTTAATGTAGGAAGTAGTTAAACCAAGAGGATTTGATAGAAAACTTGAACCTGATGAAATAATTGGTGCAACAGATTGCACAGGGGAGTTAATGTTTCTTATAACTTGGTATGGATCCAAAATTAAATGGCATTCAATCAAATACTCAATTTGTTTACATTTTATATATGCATTATTTTAGGAAGGGTTCTGATGAAGCAGATATTGTAAAAGCTTCTCTTGCCAATGAACTTTGTCCTGAAGTAGTAATTAAATATTATGAACAAAAATTTAGACGATCTCAGTCAATTAAATAAAATATGTCAAGAGAGATATATTTTTCTTAAATGTAGTTTTTAAGTTTTAATAATAAGCGTATATAATATTTTAATGAAATATAATTATGTGCTATATATTTATACTAGTTTTTTTTTGCATAACTTTATTATTTCATGTCTGCTATAGACAAATTCTATATTCTATTTGGCATTTATTTAGAATTTGAAGCTATTAAATAAATAGCTCCATCTAGTTTCATTCACTAAAATTTCGAACGATGTTTTTCTTTTGGAATTGTCTAAATGCAGAATAAACAATTTTTGGTTATGTAAAGAAAATTTTGATGATAATCATTGTTTATGATATATGATGATACGTTTTATATGCATTGTTGCATGTGCTCATATTGTATATGCACCCTTTACGAAAGTTGAAGAATCGTTTAATTTACAAGCTTCTCATGATATTTTATATCACAGAAATAATTTGACACAGGTTAGGAAGGTGTAGAAAGTATGCACTCAGTATTTTTCCTTCAATTTTATTAGTTTTGTTTTTAGTATGATCACAATGAATTTCCTGGGGTAGTACCAAGAACTTTCTTAGGACCTTTAGCCTTATCATCAGCCTCCTTGCCAATTGTGTTAATTCTACAATTTTGGGATGTTAGTAAATTTTGGGCACAATATATTGGTAAGATATGTTTATTGAAATTTAGATTTTAAAATTTAAAAAACCTAAAATATTAAAATTTTATTGCAGTACGCTTATCTCTAGCTGCAAGTGTCATATATTCATGGAATGAATTGCGCAAAACATTGGAGAAAATATTTGGATACCAGTACTCAATATGGTTCACCTTAATAACATTATCTCAATATCACTTTATGTTCTATTTAAGCAGGCCTTTACCAAATATTTTAGCTCTGCCACTTGGTAAGTTTTAATTAATCAATCCAAATTGCTTATAATGATGATACAATACTAATTAATTTAATTTTATAGTCTTATTAGCAGTTAACTATTGGTTGAATAGTAAAGAAAAATATTTTATCATTTATTCGGCAGCTGCAATATTAATATTTCGAGCTGAGTTAGCTCTTCTACTGGGATTATTTCTGCTATATGATCTTATTCAAGGAAGAGTTAAGATTTTAAGGTATTTTGTTATGTAGATATGTATTATAGTTATCATTGCATGAATATAAACTTTATTATATATCCTGCATTGTATTTTCAGTTTAATTAAAATATGCTTGCCAACAGCAGCTATTTTAATCACATTGACTGTATTAGTTGATTCATTATTCTGGGGACGACTAGTATGGCCCGAAGCAGAAGTTTTGTGGTACAATACCATTTTAAATAAAAGCTCTAACTGGGGCGTATCCTTTTTTTCTAGAAATTAATTGAGTTGAGTTCATTAGAGTTCAGTAGATTGTATGCAAAAATTTATTTGTATTTATATTTTCTTATTTGTGTTAAATAGACATCACCCTTTTTATGGTATTTCTATTCTGCTCTTCCAAGAGGTTTAGGACTTTCAATTTTTCTAGTACCATTAGGTTTATTAATAGAAAGAAAAATAAGGGTATTAACTACATGTGCATTGTGTTTTGTTTTCCTGTATTCATTTTTACCTCATAAAGAACTCAGATTTATTATATATGCATATCCATTACTGAACACAGCGAGTGCAGCTGCATGCCATAAAGTGTAAGTTCATATATTTTGAATACATTGAAAAACTTCACAATTTTCAAGATTTTTTTGACAATTTTATAATCTATTCCAACATGAAAACATCTTTTTCTGTACTTTTAGATGGAGTTGCCGAGGAAAAAGTGCTTTAACTTTCATACTATCTCTTGGAGCTATTATTCACATAATCGCAAATATATGTTTTACAATATTTTTATTGTTAATCGCTGGTGTGAATTACCCAGGAGGAACTGCAATATCCAGGTTTGCACTTTTAATAATTCTGATTTTATTTTTTTAATGTGATGATTCATGATTCTGTTAATTTCAAAATTATTAATTCAATTTTTTTTCACAAAGATCTGATAATTCTGTGCAATTTCATTATTTAATTGCATTATGTGTATTCCTGTAGCAAACTATAGGAATACAATGCCGTTTTTATTCAAGTATCAATTGTTGCAATTTTTTACAAATTCACAATGATTCTTGATTGCAATGATAATTTATTGAGTATTTTGTTCAGTTAAATTTTACTACACATAACTTTGTTTTAAATATATATTTCATAATTTGCATATATAATTATATAATTATTTTAAACAATTTTGTGATTATATCAAGATTAATTATAGAGTTAGTTAAGTGTATTAAAGAAAATAACTTAATATAGGTTGCATAAGTTAATTCCCTTTGAGCAAACAGTGAACGTACATATAGATAATCTTTCGGCACAAACTGGTGTTTCAAGATTTACCCAAATAAATCCAAATTGGATGTAAGTAAATTAAAATAATAATTGCAATTATAATATTTATGTAACACAAATCATAAATTATTATGCAGATATAATAAAACTGAACACTTAGTGCCTGGATCAAGAGAAATGATGGAATTTACACATTTGCTAGTGGAAGCTAAAAGTAAATATTCTAGTAATTTAAAACCATATTCAACCTCTCATGACGTATTGGATGTAATTGATGGATTTTCACATATCTCATTTAATTATAATTTATTGCCTCCAATAAAAATCAAAACAAAACCTGCTATTTATATATTACAACGTAAGGAGGATGTAAGTAATAAAAGAATTAGAAAAAATGTAAAAGAATTTGCAGCAAGTATTCATGAATCTATAAATAAGGATACTGAAGATGATGTTAAAAGTAATGAAATTGAGCATAATAATTCAGGAACAGCAGCTAGTTCAGAACAACCAAAAGAGGTTGTGAATTCAGTAATTGGTGACCAACATAAAATATATGCCAATAAAGGAACAGCAGGTGTAAAACAAACTATTAAAAATATAATTCAGCAGATGAATGAAATGGAAAATGTAGTGCTCCTTGAAGAAGAGAGTAATATAAAAGAAGAAAGTGTCAATGAACCTAGTTTTCAAAACACGGAAACCATTTCTGCCATGAAAGATGATCTAGTTGATTCAAATCAAGATAAAAATATTAGGTCCCTTGATATGCTTAGCAAACTTGATATAAGTAATATTAGTAGTTCTGATTATCTTACTGATAACACTGATCGAAAAGAAGACTCTATAAGAAGAAGAATCTGTAAATTATGAAAAGCTTGATGAAGAAACTATTGATATTGCGTTCGAAAGTGTGAAGAAACAAAATATTAGTGAATTTCAGGTTGTTGCTGAGACAATATTGAAAGAAAAAGTACAAGTGCCAAAGATAATGCCTAATAAAAATAATGACAATTTGAATTCAAATTCATCAAAGGCAAATAATTTTACTAATTAAGGAAGAATACTCCAATGTTGAACTTTGTTAAATTTTTATTGAAATAAATGATTATAAAATATTTATTTCGGCATATACCTATATTACCAATATTGATCACAAAGGCATTAGATTTTGAAGAATGTGGAGTTCAAATTTCAGGAAAGGCACTTCCAATCATTTTTTTCCCCCTATAGCGAAAAGTATATGTTCGTATATTAACTTTCTGACCATTCAATGAAACATTGCATGCTTTGTCAGCTTTGGTCATGAAACATAATGTGTAAAGCGCTATTTCAAACTCAGGAGATGTACCAATAAATATTGAATTTACAGGCTTATGAACACCATTAAGAGTAAACCTCAATTTGATCACAGCACCCTTCTAAAAATAAATTTTATGTATTCATTCTTTTTTCACGATTAATAGTTTTAAAAACATTTTTTTACCTCTCCTAACTCAATTTTTTTCGTATACCCCATGTAATTGATATGATTAGCCCTTTCCTCTTCCTCGAAATAAACCCAATTATGTAGACCTGTTACTTCACCATTTTTTAATTCAGCTAAGAAAACATGCTCAAATGCTGAACTACCGATTTTGCCACCTCCTCTGGAGTATAAATTAAACCAAATCGTTTTCAATAAGTCCTTATGAGTTTGGGGATCTCTAGTCACAATTCCTATACGCCACATTTATTACATTAGGTTTATTAATATTAATATTACATATAGTAACAATATAATTACCCTTTTCAATAAAAAAATTCATAAGATGCCGCATCAGGCTAGTGGATAACATTGCATCTAACAAAGCATTTTCTTCATTTCTTTCTTGTGCAGTTACATGTTCATTTACTGCAGTATCTAGTTCATAATTATTAAATAATGGTTTCATAAGCGCTATAGTTTTAATATCAAAAGCAGACTGATTCACAACAAGCAATCTATAAAAAAAAAAAAAATTGATTTGTATGTAAAATTTAAAAATAAATATTCTAGCTTACGGTAAGGGAGCTTCATCAGTTCTTGCACCTGATGTAGTCCGTCCTTGATAATTTACAGTTATGTATTTAGCTGCATTATTAGTATCTTTTCTTAGCAATGCTTCACTTATTTCTTGAATTTCAGCCTCAGTTGCTATTTCAGGCTGTGTTGTTGGTTCAGATTTTGTGTCGATCTGTTTAGGAGGGCTGTTTGTTCGAACTGCAAGAGTATTAGTCGTTGAGGGAGTAACAGATTGGGCAGGATTATTATTAGATGCACCCACAATACTACTGTAACTGAATGGTCTATTATTATTTGCACTCTGTGGTCTTACATTTTGATTGTGAGTATTTATTTGACTTGGATTTATATTTGAAACACCGCTAGAAGTAAATTGAGTATTGGCACCGGATTGTGGTCCTCTTTGGGGTAGTTGAGGCCAAAATCGGTCATTATTTGGTATATTTGTGTTTGTATTAAAGGGGCGTTGAGTGGTCTGACCACGGAGTGCATTGCTATAGCTAAATGTGCTCCGCGGGCTGGTTGAGGTAGTAAGTATTTGATTTCCACTGTAGCTTAAATTGATTGGGTCAATATTTGATTTGCTGGGAACACTGGATGGGCTTGGAAAACCTACATTTAAAATATCTGAGTATCTTCTGTTACCACTCTGATCGGTACCTGAAAATTAATATTTTTGCAGCCACTATTCAAATAATATGCCATTGGTATTGAAAACTATTATGCAATTAAGTAACAAATACATAATAATAATGAATTCACTTACATAAACAAGCAGAAATAAATATAGCTGCTATACATATTAAAAATTCTACCTTGTCCATTGGTAATTAATTTTTTTAAAATGTGCAGAATTTATTACTTGATGAATTTATTTTAAATTTATTTAAGAACATGTTATCTCCGATACGTCATGTGTAGAGTAAATAAACTTGAGCAAATGTTTTCAATGTGAAATAGTTAAGTGAAGAACCCAATACATGAATTCGCCAACACTCACACATTCAAACGGCAATCAAGTAGTTCAAACTGTTAAAAAGATAATACACAAATAAATATATGCCGTTGAAATAAGAACAGTGCGGTTTCGTAATGATATAGTTTAAAGTCTAAATAAAATATTTTGATTTCAAAATAATGTTTTGTATTCTTTACAAATTATTGTAATTAAATTTGGTTTTCTTAAAAATAAAACGCTAATGTGATAATATCAATTTTCAGAATTGAGCTTTATTTGCAACCTATTCACTAACGATTCAAATACAATAATTATTTAGAAAAATATTTAAAATTTATTTGATTTTATACTTATTAACTGCTTTAAAACTTGAGTTTCACTAATTAAACATCGGATATAGCGTGCGCTTGTTTTTGTATTTTTTTCTTTTACATGTGTAGTAAATATTTACAAGTAAATTCTATGTTTATCAGAGTTGATATTAATATATTATGTTATTTTTTAGCTACAATAAATATGATAATTGCTAACAAGATAATGGTAATCTACAGCTTCGTGACTTTGGGAATATTGATATTCAGATTTTATTGTGTTTGCCGACATACTAGAAGTGATATCATTATGATATAATATATTGATTATAATAGTTTCAACATGACGCTATATTGTGAAAGAAAATACTCCAAATATTATGACTTCAGTAAAGGTAAATTATTTTTATAAAATTTATTTTTTGCCCTCTCATATATCTCTTAAAAAAGGTAAATAACCGAGGAAATCAGGAATATATCAGTAACAATAACAAATATTTTAATTCTTTAAATAAATAAAAAAAAATAATAATAAATATTTAAAAAATTTATTTACTCACTAAACAATAAATATTTTTAATTTTGTGATTTATCTCTAGCGCCACAATTATTTACCTTCTATTAAAAATTAAGATGAAATGGACATTATAATATGTCAATATAGTAATATGATTTAAAATATATTAATAAATATATTAATATATGTTAATAAATTCATTAATAAATAAGTAATTATTTATTAGCACGATCCTACTATCCGTAACAAAAAATAAAATGTTTTCATTATAATTTCAAATTTAGAATATAAATCTTTAAAAATATGCTAAAAATATTGTATATACATACAATATAATTGATTATTTGTATGAACTTAATAGAATTCAAGTAGTACTTATTTGTTGGCTAATTACGAGAGATATATTCACATCTTCTATTGATAATTTGTTTGCTATAATTTTTTTATATTTGTAAAAGTAAGCAAACTCCGGCCATGGTCCACTTGGATGCTTTCTCTTTAGTTTTCAAGTTGAAAGTCCAAACAAATGTTCCACCTCGATGTCTTGTTTTATAGACTGGACATCTATATATGTTACGTAGATCTTGCTTGTCTTGTGTAATAGCTTTTACATAAATTATGGGCATTGCTGGAAAAAGTTCTTTGAGACGAGAGTCTACTATACTAGAAATATTAATATCCCATCGAGCTCCTTCCATGAATATTCCGTGAATATACGCACCTTCTTTTGGAGGGGCATTAAGATCATCTCTAGTCTTTTTGGTAACATCGCAGTTCAAACACATTTTGTCAAGAGGCCATTCATTTTTACGAGCTGATTGTTGCATGATTGCCGTTAAAAATGACTGTGGATTAAAAAAGCCGGACAACCACACAGAATTTGGTAGAACAAAATCATTGGCCCAACTTTCGATCTCTTTCAATCGTAAAATTAAGTCGTTAAACCAACCGCCTAGACTCAAAAGACTTGGATATGCCCTCTTAGTCCAACTTGGCGGTACCTGATCTAAAAATAGACATTCTTCTAACTCTTCCATATCTTTGGTTATAGTCAATTCGCCCTTTAAACCTAAATGTAATTCTTTCAAGCTTCGTTTGATTTCTCGTACTAAAATATTCATGCGTTCACATTCTTGAAATGCTACAATTATAAATGGTGTTCGTTCTTCTACACGTGCTGTGATTTCTGACATATTGAATTCTTCTGGTAATTTATCTGCAATATCATCAAGGGTCACTTTCACCTTTTCTTCTTTTGACATTGTAACCACACCAGATGTACTTGATTCCCTTGGTTGTAGTTCGAAAACTGTTCTGAACATATTTTCGGATTTAGACGTTAGAAAACCAATTTCAGCATTCGGGTGTAATCCGTACAGATATGGCGATTCATCCGGAAGCGTTTCATCTATGTAGGCATGATAACCTGGATATTCCATGTTTGATGGAGCAGCGAAACCAGGTGCAAAATAAAGTTCTCCTTCAACCAGATCAGGCTGCATATATTCATTCAAATATGTGAGACATAAACGTCTATCCCAATCATCAGTAATGTGCCCGCCGTACATAATTTCTCCGAAGAGATATCTTAAGTCTTCCCAAGGCACTTTATTATTATTTTCTAAATAATTTCTTAAGACATATACGCTTATAGTTAGATCTCCCGCATTGAATGGATATATTCGGTTCCACCCCTGAGGTCCAAATTTTCGGCGTTCAGCAACGACCGCATGAAAATAGCACAAGGAAAATAAAATAGATTTAAACTCAGCTTCTTTGGAACAAGTTTCTAGAATTTCTTGATTGAAATTATCTAGTGCTTTATGAAGATTTGCAAGCATGCCTGTTGGTGCCTCGTTTGTTATTTTAATAGACGATTCCAATATACCTTGAGGTATGATGTGAAATTCTGGTGCTGGAGCCGGTTCTGCTGATAAAAATAACCTGTAGTTTTTGTGAACACTGTCATCCATGCTTTCCATAATTTTTTCCAGTTTTACAAGCCATTTTGCTACAAGATGTATATTTTGCAACATAACCCACTGACCACATTTTGAAGCGATATTAATTGCATTTTCCGCAACTTTTTCTTGCCCCTGACCTAAAGAAACAATATGCAAATTTGGTGAGTCAGTATCAATATTAAGGTTTCTTGCAAGTTTTTCAACATCTTTAAGCGGGTCTACGCCTGGTGATAAAATAAAAAATATAGGTGTTGCAGCATTGCTTTCTTCAAATGATGTTTTAAAGTCAATGGTGCGTGTTTCTACAAATTGGGTTCCAAGATTTTCTTCGATAAATGTAGCCATAGCGTACGTCATGCGATCAGGTCTTAATGTACGCATCATACATAATCTCTGTAAAGGCGACTTATTTTTCCACTCCTGTGGAAACTTTTCTTTTTCTGGTGTTTCTGACTCCACAAATTTTTTCCATCTCTTGGCTGAAGCTACAATATCTCGGTCAAAATTGTTGAAAGACTGCAACGAAGCTAACAATTTTACTCCAGCCCATAGTGTATTTGTAAGGAAATCTACTGGAGAGTTTAATGGAGCTGCGATTGGAAACCGTAATAAAAAATCCAATTCCCAAGGATGTATTTCTTTTGCATTAATTAATATTTGAAGTGCTATCTGTGCAAGAAAAATTAATTTGTCATTTTCAAAAAGCCCTCTGCTCGTGTATAAAAATACTCTAAATGTTATGGAATTTAATAAATTAGTAACACGCTCTTGAAGTTTTTCTGCTGGCAAGGCTCTTTTAAGAGCATCTTTAAATACTTCGCTAAAAGCTTTTAATGAAAATTGATAAATCATGTTTATTTTATACAAATCATTCAAAATAAAGTACAAAATTGATGCTCTGCAGGCCACTGGTCTATAATGTTCTCGAGCTTCATCTATTTTTGCTGAAGTAGATTTTGCTTCAGATACTTTTATCGCCACTTCATCTGCAGTCTTTTTAGTTTGCTCTAAATTTATAACTAATGCGCTATCTTCTAAAACATTTGCACCCGCATTCGATAATCTTGTCAATAAATCATCTTCCAATGTTTTTAATGTTATTTTAAAATGATTTTGTTGTTTTGTAAGTTCTGATTTTAAATTTTCCAAATCAGGTCTTTCAGCTTTCACAACTTCTGCCAGTAGCTGTTCCTCCAAACCATCTTTCGTTACTGTAAAATTTATAAGTGTGGTTTGAGCTTGCATTTCAGGTTTATAATGTGGATTTGCTAGCTTTGTTTGTAGTATTAATTTGAAGGAAGGATGGTAATCGATTTCTTTGTCGCCGATTTTAATACATGTTCCCTTTTTATACAGTGCTCGTCCTAATAGTGGATCTAACACAGCATCTACATTTTCATAAATGTTTTCTATTAATAATACATCGCCACTAATAATAGCCTTTTCTATAATATCCATGTAATTTTTCATAGATAAACGTATCACCTTAAGGTTAGATATATATTTGTTTTTTATCCACTTTATACCTTGTCTGAAATTGAATGACAACACAAATTACTTGAAGTCAAATGCTGAAATATTAAAGCAAATTTTAGCTTACAATTGGGGATCAATCATTAGTGGCCACCTTGCTGAGTTAGTTAAAATTGTGGCGTTTTCAGCTGACATTCTATCACTTGGTAAACCTTCATTATTCCATACAGCTATTTGGGCTTCGTCTGTTAATAAGCTAAGAGTATCCAATCCAGTACTTCTAGGAATTTCAGGCTATAATATTTATTTGAGCCAAATAAATAAAATTAAATTTTTCGAATATCTTTGATACATCAATATTCATTATACTACCTTTAGTTTAGACAGATAGGGCAACCAGTATTTATCTTGTAAATCTACTCTATACGGACGAGTAAAACATCCGACGTAAGAAATGAAACAGCTTACGATTAAAACATCCCCTGGTATTGTAACACCAGATACTTTAAGGTCTTGTACATTTTGCCTCCAACGAATATTTTCTGATGCTAAGCCTGTCACTAGTCTATTTGCAAGATCGATAGTAGTCGCTGTTCTATCAGCCTCTTCTTCACATTTTATTTTGTCCATCTGAGCTTGTTCAAATTCTGATGTTAGGATTGAAAGTTTTGCTTCTAACGCCTAGAATAAAAATAATATATGAAACTCTGGAATTATAATTTATATTTGAATTTAAGAATTTGATACACTTACCGATATTTGATTTTTTAATTTTTCAAGTTTGTTTCGTGCATCACTCAAATCCTTGTTAGCTGTTTGTAATGCTCTTCTCTTTGGTTCTACTACTATAAATACTTCATAGTATTTATTTATATTTATTACCCAAGCACAAAGACCAGCAGCTGCAGTTGATTTGCTCATAATGTACTCAGGATTAAATTGATGATCATTTAAATATGGCTGCAAAGCTTTTATGATTTCTGGATGTATATTTTCTTTGTCATAATTAACCAGATCATTCAGAAACTGCGCTGCATTTCCCATTATCATTTTACAAGCTTTCCATGAACGATCTTTAGGAATTTTCCCTTTTTTTGAAAATAATACTAATACCGCTGCACACACATTGACTACTGCGTCCGGTGGTGAACCGAATGATCTTAACTCTGTTAAATTGTTTTTATTCAAAGTGTTTAAAGCTTCTTGTGCAGCTATTAGTGCTGGTTCTGCTCTTGCTAGATCATCAGCGCATACTTTTGCTTGAATAGTCACATCTTCTTCAATAATCCGTACTTTTTTCTCTTCACTTGCAGCGAAAGCTTTTTCTTTAGCAACTTTTTCACTTTCAGCTCCAACTGCTAATATTAATTTGTCTGCAGCTATATTTTTACTTGCTAGTTCAACTTCTTGTAACGCTAAAACCTTTTTAAGTGCTTCAACTTCTGTGGCGCATTGAGCTAATTTTGTCAAACCGTTCTGAAGACGATTAACGCGGTCTTTCAAATAATTTGTTTTCTCAAGCAAAAGCTTAGAATATAACGCTATTAATTCCAAAAATGATTTTGGCGTAGTATAGTTGTACCTTTTTTCGTTAGCCAAGTATGTGGCGGATATTTCGTTAACAGTTGTATGTACGTAAGACATATACAGAGATACTGAATTTATCATTTCTGTAGGTAGTGATTTCATTTCCGATAGAAAACTGGTAGATACCGATTGTAAAGCTTCTTGAGGCCATTCATAAAACCAATTTATTGCTGTACAATTGACTATTGCCGGAAATTTTCTAGCTCGTACTCTAAGGGTTGAACCGACAGGAGAAAAGCACAATACAACTTTTAGAATACGTCTTACTCTATCTATGAAATATTTCCAACAATTTTCACGCGTATCTTGCATATTTGCTTGTTTAACTTCATTTCTCATTGCACTAATTACATTTTCTAAGTCTTCGTCCGCTAGTAAATCTGGAATTTCTCCTGATGCTAAGAGGTCATTAATGACCACTAGAAACTCTTCTTTATTTACTTGAGCATCTGTCATTAAAAATACGGTACCATTACCTTTCAGTCCAGCTTTGAGATAGAGATGAGATAAATCAGTTTTAAGATCTGCCAGACAATACCCCTTACGTAATTGTATTTGAAATACATCAAGGGAGGATATGAATGCTGCCAGCCTTGACAATGATTGTTTACCGGAACCTCCCACACCTACCAATAATGCATTACCTCTTGGCGATTCTAGTATTCTATTTATCCTGCATATGTGACACATAGCATCCTCGAATAACACTAAATTCATGGCCCCAACTAAGTCATTATAAGTATTCATTGCTCCCGTCAGCAATGACGCTAATTGTTCCCAATTCTTTACAGGTAAATATTTAGGATCTCCAATCGATTCAGCATAATGCCAATAAATTAATGGTTTTTGGTGTATAAATGACTCATCAACTTCTTCAAAATTTTTCTTGCATATTTCATTTATTTGTTTTCGATAAGCGTCCTGATCTTTAGACTCAACAAGTTTGTCACCATAAACTCTTGTGGCTTCATGAACCCAAAGTCTAATGAAAGAATTAACGTTGGGTGCGGCATCTCCTGTCGCAAAAAGCATGCCTTGGAAAATATTTGATAAGTCTCTCAGATTAAATAGATAATGAAACTTAATTGCAGTTGGCAAAAAATTTTGTGCCATTCGTGCGTGAAGCATAACTGCGGCGCTTACTAATGACGGAACAAAACTGATTATAGCTGTTGTATATTTTGATGCCGGATTAGTCACGTGCTGAGTTAAAATTTGCGAGTAAATTTGATTAACAATGTCAGACGTGGGAAAACTTAGTGCGAAAATACAGAAATGCCGTTGCAATCGTGGATTTATAGTAAATGACCCTGCAGTAGGATTCATACACGATACATATTGACAGTTATGAATGTCTTTTGGCGTCAATTTTATTCTGTCATACCAATGACCATAATCGAAGTATTGTCTTATTAATGTGTGAGGTTGTACTGTACCATAAGCATCAACTTCGGGCATATTCATGTCATCTATGAAATATATCATTGTTTTTATTCCAGGTGGTCCATAATTTCTACCAGCTTTTTTCTCTAATGGCTTTTCCAATATACGTTGTAGCATTTCAGATGTAGTATAAAAGTTAAAAGGCACATTAGTAACTGCGTAATTGTCAGATAAACCAGAGAGTTTTTCTTTCATTAAAACACTTTTACCAGTTCCAGCTGCTCCAACGAGCATAACGGGCTTTTGTTGTTTCATGAGGACATCAATAAAAAATCTCAATCGTGTTGTTTCTCCAGTATTTACTAAAGTTGATTGAAGTGGTACATCAGTATCGAGTTCAAAAGGTTGGACCATGTTTGTCCACGGAATAAATGTTTTCGTTTCTTGATCAACGCAAAAATGAAAAACTGTGCCCGTATTAGGAAATCGAACAGTTTTGAATTCATTCAACCACCACTTACTAAACTCATTTCTCCAATCACATAGTTGATCTTGAAAAAGAGCCGATCCAAACGCCCAGATACAAGCAAATACAAAATATATTTCATACCATTCTTTTGGACAATCATTAGGTACGTTCGAAGGAGTGATAAAACAATCTAATAAATAGCAACATAGTTGAATTTGTGCTATATCTGTTACAGGCGTAATTTTTTTCAACTTTTTGGTGTATTCAAGGCAAGCCGGTATATATTTATCAAAAAGGATCATCAATAGTGAACGTTCACTTTGAGTTATTCGTTGATCTAGCCATGAAGACACATACCTAGAATAAACAAATTTATAAAACTGAAGCCTTAATATTTTAAATTTTAAATGCCAAAACTCACAAATTCCATCCCAAATCCACTGGATTAATATATAAAATTCCTGCTCGTGACACTGTAGCTGGAGTTGCGGTTCGTAAATTTGATATTTCAAATAGTAGTCTCATTTGAGGCGTTAAAGCTATACGCTCGTTGCTAGCTAAAGTTAAAACTTTATTATCATCCATGACGGTGTTAAGACTTTCAATCCACATAGGATCTATATCTCCGTCTAGTATTATCCATTTTGGCCCTGCTCCGGTGATATTCGCTAAATCTCTCATCAAAACACTAAATAGACCGTCTTTCCATTCTCTTGTAGAAGGGTTGATGATGCCAAATAATTCATCGTTAGTGACTGCTTTCGGATTTAAATCATAGTATATTGGCTTCAGGCCTTGGTTTTGATAAGTTTTGTTTAGTGTCTTCCAAACCATTGTTTTGCCAGTACCAGCATTACCCACGACAAATACTGAATGCCGAACTGCGAATAATTCTTCCAGCTGCACAATCTGTGGAGAAACCAATAGTAATATTTTTTTACTATATTATTACTATTACACATCCTCACCCACTTTTAAAACAAAACTGTCATCAGGTTGCAAAGCTAACTGCATAGATGATGTTTTCACTAACTTTTCGAATTCAGCATTTCTTTTTCTGGGTACATCCAATGTCGGAAAAAGGTCGCCTATTAAACCCATAAATATGGGTACATCATCGGTTATAATTTTTGGTATGTTAAAATCTCGCAAAGCTCTCATTAGAACTTGATCTTCAGGTCGTTGTCGATCACCTCGCTTGATAAATATATGAAATATAAACCAAAAAGTCATCTTATTGATAAAAATTTAAAGTAATTATACCTTAAGGGACCCTGCAACAACCAATACAGATTTTATGGCTCGCAAGCCCCAATCGTAATGGTCTTGATTTGACAGCAATTCTTTGCAAAGAGTATATAATGTTATAAATTTTCTGGCCAACAATCGAGCATCTTGGAAACCTTCAGCTACTAACATGATCTCACAAATCAATTCAAAATCAGGCACTACCATTGCACAAGGTCTACAAAAATGTATTATTATTTTCTTTTAATACTCAATAAAATTAAATTTTACCTAAACAGGGCTTTCAGATTTTCTGGTAATTCTGTACGACCAGCATATCCTGGATTCATTGTTATGAATAATCCGACTGTAGGAATTAAACGTATTTTGACGCCCATGAAATTAAAAGATTGTTTCTTTGTTTTAATTGCATCTTGAATTGTTTTCACTTGTACTGCTATCACTGAAAGAACTTCTACCGATATTCTATTGAATTCATCAAAACATCCCCATGCGCCAGTTTGTGCCAATCCTAATATAGTAACATTAATATTTACAAAGATTTTATATATCAGATTTGTAAAATTATTAAACAACCTTTATAAATATTTCCACAAGATCTGTAATCCATTTGTTCGGAGCAGTTAAATACGTATACCATACTTCCCAATGCTCGACCCAAGTCTTTCGTGGTTTCTGTCTTTCCGGTGCCTGCCGGTCCGGCTGGCGCGCCGCCCATGACAAGATGAAGAGACTGTTTGAATAAATTTTATTTTAGCTAAACTAATACGTAATATTAACACAAATTCATTTATTAACATTATTATTACTTGGGTTAATGTAATATAGCAGCGGTCTGTCAATGGTGTTATAACTAATCTAGGCGTATTACCCAAGTATTCGTATTGATATCGGAATTGGGCATCACATATATTTGCATAACAGTCGTCTAGTTTTGTATCCCACCTATGTCTGAGTTGGCTTTGCCATTGAAATGCATTTGAGGAATCCACTTTGCCATGTATCATTTTTGATATTACATCGCGGCAATGCACGTCTATTGTACACACCGTCATTACCTGGATAAAGTATTGTGTAATATATATATATATATATATATATATATATATATATATATATTATACACATACTTAGAATTTTTTTATATAATGTGCGTTTCAAGAGTTTTACTCATTTTCAGTATCTCTTCGAAAAGTAATGCCGAATTGAAAACCGATAAAAATGTTCAAACAGTTTATGATTGTTATGATCCATAGATTATGTTTGGATAATTTTCAAGCCAGAACATCTGGTGTGACATTGTAAAATATTATTACATAACGGTCCGGAAAATCGCTTCAATGTTACTTGCAAATATTTGTAATAATAGAAGATTTTAACTCAGAGAATATAACTATAACTCTATGATTCTTTTTTTCTCATTTTAAATGAACCATAAGGTGATTCTAAATTGCAATATGATTTTCTACGTGTTTTTTAACTTCACGAAGGAGAAGTTTATGTTTTCATAAAAAAATCCGACTCGCTAATTTTATGTTTTCTCGACGTTTCAAGCCATTCTGAATCGAATGAGACCGAATTTGGAAAAAGTATGTGTGTGTGTGTGTGTGCGTGTGCACCAACTGATTTTTTGCCGAAAATTCGACGATTTTTATGATTTTTTTTTTACGGTAGATACCATAGTCTTCTAGATCATACTAAAATATTACGGCCCTGCGACAAGCCGTTTAATTTTGAGAATTCTTCAAAGTTTGCAAAAATTACTATCGTTTTTTTGGCATTTGTCAAAGTTAGAACTTTGATCGACGTTTTCTCAAAAACGCCTGAACCGATTTCAGAAATTCAAAAACCATTTGATGTATCTCGATGAAGGATTATCGTTTCTCAGTTTTGTGCGACGATCGGCCCAGCTGTTTCTTTGTAATTTGTAAAAAAGTGTTAAACATTTCGTCCACATTTAAGCTCATACTACCGAACCGATTTTAAAAAATCAAAAACTGTTCGAACCGATTTTCATGGAACTTTTTTGGGCGATATATATCATGGTCTTATAGTACTCAGTGAAATATTACGGACTTACGACAAGTACTTTAATTTTAAAAATTCATCAAAATTTGAGAAAATGAGTAGTTTTGTTGACGTTTGTTAAAATTAAAATTAGACGATTTACCTGGTATAACGATAAACGCTTGGTCTTAATGAATATACTAAGCAATTAAAGTTCTACGAAAAACTGGCTCAATTATTAAAATTATTGATTTTTGAAAATTTGCTTTTAAAAAATACTTCGACCGGGTTGACGTGTTCGATTTTCAATAATGTGTAATAGATCCACTTCGAATACTTTTAACTACTCATAAACTAATTTATCTATAATGAATTAAGTCGATTATTTACACAAATCGGGAAGTTCATGTAACTTGCCTCAAGGCAAAATACCAATACCAACTAGTTTAATTATTAAATTACAGTTAGTCATACTAGATTTGAAAATTGTTTCATTGTTATCACATTGTATTTTCGTTTACAAACTTTTTGTCTATCCCCGGGACTCAAGTCTCCTAGCAGCCATCCTATTAAAGCATTTAGTTGCAATATTTGTTTTTTATGATAATCTCTTAGGGCGCTTTCGTGGCCCTCTTCCAGTTTTGCAAATGTTGCATTAGTTTCACTGGTCCACCAGATCTGAGCACCGCAAAGGGCTACCTGCGCTGGCCAGTCGAATACCCAGGCATCACGTGCACGTTCTTCGTATGTTCCTATCGCCTCGTGAAATAGCTTATGAAGAGTGTTTCTCATAGTCTCTGTTACGCGGTTCAGCCATACTTCGACCTGATTAAATACAATATTCAATATATTTATTTATTTACTCTATAATCTACAACTCAAAATACCTTTCCATTACAGTCGCACTCTTTTTTAAACGTTACAACCTCTTCATTTTCCTTAGACTCCATGGCAGTAGCTATTTTTGTTCCTGGTTTGAATACTAATTTAGCTAAACTGTCAAAAAGTTTTATCAAATGCCTCGATATTAAGTCAGGTCTATTTCCACTTGATAAAATATCTAACAGATCTGCTGAGGATATAAAGTAAAATCTTGGAAAAGCTAGTCGTTTTGTTTCTAAATAATCATTCAGAGCTTTTTCACAAACTATCAATTTGTGAATCAAAGTTTCTAATACTTCAACTAATCCTGGTTTATTTGTGGCATTTACTACATTTGGAGTTTGCAACATTTGTTCTAGCAGTATCTAAATATAAATAAAATACATTAATAAACACATAGTTTTTATATGTTTTTTATTTGAAGTACCTTAAATTCTTTGTCAATTTCATCAAACGTTTGAGAGTCTTTAGGAAGTTGAGCTCTTATATCTTCTGAACCTATAAATATAGATTCCAAGTACATCCATTTTCGTTGCACTTCAAACCAAGACGTAATAACTTGATCAGCACATGAAAGCTTTTTTTGCCAGCTAGATACTTGTCCAAGGAAATATCCGATAAATTTTGAAGTCATCAATGTTTGCAGTTGAACCTTAAAAAAATTCCTCATTGCAGAACGTTATTTCAATATATACCAATTTTTTTAGTTACTTGATTTTCCTCCAATGTTTCAATAAGTTCCTCTGATGTTTTGAGAATTTGCATATTAGTGCGTTCATGGGTTTCTTGATCAAATTCCATAGAACCCCAAACAATTTCAAGATCTTTTAATGTTTTTTCCATGCCCATTTCTTTTACAGCTTTGTCTACTATATGTTTTACTTCGTCTTCATATTGATGTAGCTGCAGGTCTAGTAAATCGCTCAATGTAGTATTTTCATCAGTGATGAACTTAACCTTAATGAAAAGGTAATTAAATTTATAAATTTAATTATACTTATAAACCATAAGAAAATATCAAATTAAGTTACCGTGTGTTTACGACCAAGTATATTAGTCACCTAAAAATAAATATACGAGGATAGATTATTTAAATAAAAGTAGTTTATGTAGATATATATTTTTACATTGGTGGATTGCATCAGCTCTTTCCAATGGCGATCTTTTATTGCCGGATTTTGCAATTCGGTTACTGCCCTCAAAGCAGTCATCAAATTTTTCAAACGGGCCTCAGCGTCTAAGAAAGGTGCCCAAGTTCTCACATCTTTATCGAGGGACCTTAGTTCTTTACCAAATTTTTTGCATTCTTGATCCATATCTTCGGCGTCAATTTTTTTCCATGGTGTCATTTTCCAGTTTTCGATATGTGACGCTATCACCAAGCACTCGTCCCAGAGTTGCTTTAAAGATTACATTATTTTAATAAATTTATATTAAATATAGTTAATAATGATAAACAAAGAGTTATAAAATTGTGTTATTTTTATTTACCTTGAGTAATATCAAATCATGTCGCACTTGTCGAATTTGCCTAAAATCCGGCACGTTCAATTCAAACAGAGTTGCTGATGAAGAGATTTTTTCCATTTGGTTTTCAAAACTTTCAACAGTTTCATTTGTTTTATCGATTAAATAATATGTGTTTTTACATTCTGCATTGAATAACTGAAAAAAAAGATTAAAGTTCTCATAACTCAAGTAAAGTGACGATTGAAGATTGTTTATTGTAGTACAGGTAGTTTTCGAAATGTATCGCGATATATTCCTTGTTGTATATCAAAAAGAGCCAGGCGTTTTCTAATCAAATTCACTTCATTTGCTTGAAGTGGTAGTACATTCTGCTTAACTCTGACTGCTAATTTTTTGCAAGCGTCCCATCTATCAGGCAACTCTGCGAGCTTAAAAAATCATTAAGTTATAAAATAAATTATCTCTAATATATTTTAAACAATATACTTATACTTTGGAATAAATATTATCTTCGAACTCCACATCATAATGTTTTAACATTTCAATAATGTCTTTTAGAGGTTGAAACATTTCATTAGTTTGATGTTCTCTATCTTTTATTTTCTGCAAATACTCCATGACTAATAATAGCCCTTCAAAATCTCCTTCGACAACAATTTTCTCCAGCACAGTATTAGTTTCATTTATGAAGTTTTCTAAATCTTTTAAACTAAAATCATCAGTTTTTGTTAATATTTATTTTTCAAATGTCGAATCATGTAGTTTACCTATTTACTACTTGATCAACAAGGTTTTGCTGGTACATGTTGCTCCATTTGCAAATTGTGTTCAGCACTGCATATTTGAATGGTCTCACGTCTAAAGATAGCCAACCACATAGAATTTTTTTGTCAGGAATTTCATCTTGCACAGTATTGTAATAAGTGTTGTAGTAATCGATCTAGAAGAATTAAAAAAAAGTACCAAAATTGATCATATCGAAAAAAATATCAAAATTAAATACACATTTAAAATTTTGGAAATTCTGAGAGTTAAGATTAAATATTAATCCTTGATTATAAGTATTGGTCAAAACTCCAATCTTATTTATTAATCATTTTCACCTGTGTTTTAAACATATCAAGTGTCGGTTTCTGCTGATTAACGGCGGCGTCGTCTTCATCTGATAAATCTATTTCTTCTTGGGTTAGATAGTGATCATAAACCAAAAATTGTAACATACATTCTGTACGATCGTCCAACCATAAATATGAATATTGATTCATTGATTCAGCAAATGATAAGGCTTCTGCGATTACATTTTTTACTTTGGCTAATACCTGTGTACGCATTTCGTTGATATCGATGTTTTCTTGGAGGTCTTCTAGAGAAATAAAAAATAGTAAACATTAATATTACTCATTGTCAGATGAAAATACTTAAATATATATTGATGGTTGTTTTACGAACATTGAATCTAGTACATGAATACGAATACAAAGTTTGAAGATGTTTAATTAACGACTGGACCTGATGGAATTGGATACATTCCATCATCAGGTTTACTGCCAAAAAGGAATTTATTAGGAAGTATATTAATGAAAAGTCTGATGGTTGCAGAATGTCAAAAAAATCTTTTAAAAAACTTGCTTCTTCATATTCATGAAGTATATGAGCATTACTACTACATAATCTTACTACAAGAATGAACTTAAAGTATCTCTGTTATTATTTACTTTGATAATATGGCTCTTCCTGATGTTCTGCTATTCTGGGTATGAGCATGCACTGGTTCATGATATCGTTTGTCAAATTCTCAAAAATTTCGTATAAATTATTGTCGACTTCAAAACTTAGAGACGGTTTGAATGTTATATCAGGCGCCGTAAGCATCATTTCCATTTCGAAGAATGGATATTGGCTAGTTAGAGCGCTCATCTCATTATTCAGATAAAACATACTGAAAAAATAAAATTGAATAAAGTTATTTAATTTGGATTTTTTAATTTTCAATTAAAAAGCAGATTAAGTTTACGACTTTATTTTTATTTAATAATTCATATTTAAGTCTGCTCGTTAATATTAGTTTATGAGTCTTATTCAATTAATCATAAGGTTGCTCGATGGTTGCTCGTTTGAATACAAAGATTGTTTTATCTTATTATTTTATGAGAATTGCATCATTGTATAATCATTTTGTTGCTTTATATTTCTTGATGAATTTACAAAAAATATCATGGAAATAATAATTGTAGACAAACTACATCATACCTCACACAAATAGAATGCATTAACTCATTTGCCACTAAAGAGTCAATATATTCCACATAAATTCTCCACTTTTTATGATACTCGACAAGGTTTTTCTGTCTTATTTCGTTTGATTGTTTTCTCTTATTGCATTGATCTACAACAATGATTATTAATAAATTGAAATTTAATTTGAATAATATAATTAATATGTTTACCTGGGTATTCTAATACTGTTTCCAATACTCGAGTGAGACTTGAGAATTTTGTCGATTTGGTTTTTGCGTTATCTAATTCACCTGTGGAAAAAGGCATTATCAGATATTTATTATAGCTTGTTTTTTATATTAATATTTTTAAAAAAATATGTATTAAATAATCCTAAAATAAAATAATAAACAGAGTGACAATATGAACATTGAAAACATTTATTTGTGGACAATTTTATCTAACAAAAATAATATATAATTATACGTTTGTCAATATACTTTTAATTACGTCTTATTCTATTATTTTTTTATTTATTTAGTTAGTTATAAATTTATAAATTGAGAAAATTAAACTCACTTATATCTTGTTTTAAATCGTTTGCTATGGAAGTCTCGAATACATCTGTAGAGAATTTACTATACGGTAATAATTTCAATTGAGACTCTTCCTGAAAATAAATTATGTAGATAAATTTCAAATTTGTTTTTTCATTAATGCATAAAAATTACTCACATGATCTCTAGCATCATTTTCTGTTCTTTCTATAATAGGCAGATTTAAAAATAATCTATAATTCATGTCCATGACAAATTTAATTTCATCAACGGATCGTTTTATAAGTTTTTTGCTGAAATTATAAATGTAGAATAATTTATGATTAATTGGAAAATTAATAATAAAATAATTAATAATAATTATTACTGTGCACAAAGATTATCCTTTCTGTCATTGAGGGCTAATAACTTATCCTTCTTGTTGCCCTTTCGAGTATAAATTGGCAAACCAGCCCACTGCCTCATTCTACCAAGAAGTTCTTGAACATTTTTTTGGGAAGTCACTATTCTGTTATGTAATGCTTTTAGTTTTTCATATAGAACTTCCAAATGTTCTGTATCTGAATTGAAAAATTATGGTATCACATTCATACACAGAGTTGATATAATATTTTTTTAATTAATTTTTAACTTAATTATTATTTCATATATTTTTAACTAATAGTTATTATATTTTATTATTGTACTTTTTTGTATCAATAATAATAATGATGATTCATAATTCGCTTACGATCACGTTCCCATGTCATGCTATTGATTGGCAGATCCAATAGTTTGTCAATTTCGGAAATCTCATCTCGTATTAAATCGAATTCTTGTTCATTGGTTTTCGATACTAAATCATTGTACCATTCCACAATACGATCTATTTTCATCGTTGTGCTCTGGAGTTTCAGTAAATCAAATATATGAAATGTGTTTAGAAATACATCACGTATAATAAATAGAGACAGTAACCATGAGCTTAACCATTACACCATGGAACACCCATATGTATAAATATATATATATATATATATATATATATATATATATAGTTCATATGTGATTTAGTAACAAATATAAATCGGGAAGAATTTTTCTTATTGTAACACATATACACAATCAAGTAAAAGCGTGACTTTTTAAAAAATATTTTTATTTTAACATTTTTAATTACATCAAGCAAAATACATTTAACTGCAGTAATAGTTTTAACAACAAATAACAAATTATACTATATATATATATATATATATATATATATATATATTAATATAATTATAGTTTAATGCGTAAAATGATCTAATAATAGTGAATAATTATGCAAAAGCTATTCACGCATGATGTTTAGTGACCATAATGAAATATAAAAATTATTTGAATTGTGAATTATGTGAATTTGAAAGTGATTTCTCTCATTGAAATTCCAATTCATTAATTGAATCTATAAATAGACAAACAGATTATCGGCGGGGTAATTGAATAAAAAAAAAAATTGTACAGAAGCATTCTAATGAACTAATTATTAGATAATCTAATTAAATACTTATTATTTTATTTATATCGGATTCGGCATCTTTTTCAAAGAATAAATGCAACAACAAAGTTCTAACAGTTATAAACAACTTTAACATATTTATTCAATAATAAATTATTAAATTTTACATGCTAATAATACAATACATATAACAATAATTTTGTACTTATATATTTTCAAAGTGATTCAAATTTCAATGTTATACCACCCACAGCAGCTGTTAGGAAGGATCGGGTGTCCAATTCAAGAGGTATTTTGGTTTCATTGCTTGGTAAAATGTTATAATCTCTTATGATCGTTATTAGTCCCAATCTCGTTTGCATCATACCGAACCTCATTCCGATACAAATTCTGGGCCCTTCACCAAATGGCAAATAAGTATATTGGTGACGTGAATTTTTAGCCTCTTCTGAAAATCGCTCAGGATCGAATTTTTCCGGATTCGGATATATCTCTGGATCTTTGTGCAGACCAATGACTGGAATGAACACGGATGTGCCTTTGGGTATCCAAAATGTTGTTCCGGGGAGGGTGTAATCTTTGCTGCATTCTCGTGTTAGAACAGGGAGTGTAGGGTATTTGCGCATTGTTTCTAGGGAAATAAATATTTATTATGTTTATCTTTAATATAATAAATTTACCAGGAAACGGGTTATAGTTCAAATCAACATCAACTATTCTATTATTTTTGTCTTCTGTTGTTTTATTTATTTTTTCTTGCTTTGTTATATATTCAATTTATTGAACCTTCTACATTTTTTTTCTCTACTCTATTTTGTTTAATGAGAGTGTTTCAGATTTTGATTGACAAAAATAAATTGTTATGAAAAAAAGAAAAAAATTAACGTATGTGCGCGTAATTAAAATACGTGTAATTTTAAAATATCATTTAGATGCGTCGTATTTATAAAACTGATATAATAGATTTAAATTTTGTTAAAAGCTTTCAAACTGAATGAGTTGCCAAAAGCTTACAAATTTCATATTTTACTTTACAATAAATATTTATGTAAATAATTGGTCTATAAAGTAAAGCGTGCTATCGATAAAATTTATGTTCGAATTTTAATATTAATTAATTTCGCAAATAACAACAGAAAAGCTTTTGTGTGAATAGCCAGCGACTGGAAAATTTATGATATTAATTTTAGTAATTTTGCTTTATTATTATGCTGTATTAATTTTTAGAATTCAATAAATTGAAAGTACCATTATCCTATAAGTATTAATACAATCAGTATCTTATTCGCTATTAAATCGTAAAATTGTACATACATTTATTTTACGTGCGTATAAAGAAATCGTATATAGTCTTACAAACTCAACTATTATTCTCGTATTATTTTTTATTGTAAATTGTTTAGAATATATAGAAAGTAGTACTAATTTAATGTTGTTAAAGCATTTGATCAATCAAAAATTTAATGGAAAATGAATGCACAACGTATTGAATTAAATTTATATATAAAAAAGAAATTATTAAGGTTTTGTAGAAGAGAAAGAAATACTATTCTATACAAACCATAAATGACTTTGTCCAAATAATTCATTTGAAGAATGCAATCATAAGACAATTTGCCATCGTTTTCATCCAAAATTCTATTGATCTCGTCTCTACATTTCTTTTGAATATCTGGGTTAACAGCTAACTCGTATAGACAAAAGCTCATTGTAGTCGAAGACGTTTCAAAACCTCCTAAATAAAACACGAATGCCTGAGCCGCAATTTCATTCAAAGTGAGAGCTGATTTGTCCTCTATTACTTCTCCTTCATTGTCTTCTAAATAGCCCTTAATTTTGAGTTGTATCAGCAATTGTAGAAAGTCATTGCATTTGACATTGTTTTTTTCACGAAATTGTATGGTCTCATCAATTCGGTCCAAAAAGAATTTCGTAACCTCTTTATCTATTACGGTGATACCTAATCTACGCGATAAAGATTTGTATGTAAAAGCAAATAATTGCTTCACTATGCTGAAAATATTATTCTGAAAAACTTTTCTGCCAATTTCTCTGAATTCAGCATCCGGATTTTTTAATGTGTTACATTGTATTCCTAATGCACATGATCCTATAACATCTGTTGTAAATCTTGCTAAAACATCCTTAATTTCAAATGTAGATTTTTCAGCAACTGTTTCTTGCATATATTCTTTCAATTCATTCACGTTCTCCATCATGGTGCTATACATCATCTTCATTTTACCTGATGTAAATGTTGGGGATAATTTCTTACGCAATCTTTTCCATTTTTCATCTTCGATGGAAAACAAGTGCGCGGATAGTGGATCATCCTTTTCATTATAGTATTCACCGCGATTGTGGAAATATTGAAAATCTTTAACCATAATATTTTTTATTGCTTCTGGATCTAATACAACTAATGTCGGACTGAGTAAGGTGAAATAGCCTGCGTAAGGGCCTTTGCCTTTGAATTTATTATATATTTCTTCTACAGCCATTCCAATAGATGCTTTGCCAAAAAATACTTTGCCAAAATTTCCAAAAGGAAATGATGGGCTTTGGTGGGGTATATTTCTTGACTGCCAGAATTTGAATGCTTCTTTGGTTCTCCAATAAATAAAACCAATAACTAAAGCCAATATGGCTAGCCACCATCGTAAACAATTACACTCACTCATAATAATACTTTATAAATTTTCTACTATGTGCTTATTTTTTTCTATAGACGAATAAATACACGTTATCTTCCGCCGAATGATCGGCGCGTACTGGAAGAACGAACACAAACGCTTGGAACAACATCCGCGTCATTTGATGACTTTGACTATTAACTAATAAATATAATATCGTACAGAGCTAAAAATGGTCTCGCCAGTTTTTTATAAATTATTTTTTGCAAGGAGGCATCTGGAAATTACTTCTGTGATTTCAAAATATTAACACGTGCATCACGATTGCATTCTATCAATTTAACGTTTCTGTATAAACACGTGAATCAGTATCATTCAACCTTTTGATAATTCACATAAAACTAGTTATGATAATAGTGTCGAGAACTTTTGTGTCGTGTAAGTCATTGCTCGTAAAAAACTTATGGTGAACAATCTTATTGTATAAAATATCTCATATATATACTACATGCAAACATTCCTAATATAAGTTTTCTGGATCAGGATCAGGAACAGGATACAGATTTCTCATAAAATAGATATAAATGATCGGGGAGGTTTTAATATTAAAATAATTTTAAAAATCTGATTTTTAAAAGGTTTTTGTTCATGTCAAATGAGTGCATTTTGGTACTAAAAATATTACTTTCATCGACAAATAATAAATTAAGATATATAATATTATTTTTTTTTTATGATATATATATATATTTATTTATTTATTTATTCTATATTTACTTACCTGTAATTCTTCATTCCGGGAATAAAGAATTTTCCCAGATTCTGGTAAATCTGTAATTTCCATTCTTGATAAGTATTGCATTTCTCGTAAAACAGCCATCAACTAATAAAAGAAAAACGCGAACAGTGATTGTTATTTATAATAAATAAAAAAATAACTAACATTTACCTCATCATCAAAATTTGCTGATAATATCTTTTTATCTTTTTTGATTATCAAATTTTTTGGTAATTTTTTATCCAGTATTGATGGTACAAGAACTTTCCACGAATCAAGTACCTTTTGTTCAAACGAATTTAACATAGCAATTGTTTCATCATACTTTCTGCTTACTTTCTTTCCTTTTTTAGACTTCAAAATTCTGAGTAAAATATTTGTTTAAATAATAAATAACCTGAAGACAAATTATAAATTACAGTGCTTACTGTTCATCTAAATGATCAAAATCTGCTCTAGGTTTAGTTATCCTTGCTTTGAGTTTTCGTATCCAGGATATTGCACCTGTAATTGGAGGTTGCCATTTATCAACAGGAAAAGACTTTGGATCAGATTCGTAAAGTGCGGATCCTTCTGTGAAAATTTTGCGAACTTGATCTATCTGCTCTTTAAACATAATAAGTAAATCATTGAACTTGTGGCCTATTCGTTCTCGGATTATTGGCCTTTCTGGTAAACCACCGAGAATAAATATTATCTGAAATTCAATCATAAATAGTTAAATATAATAGTAGAAGAACATAGTCTATTATATTATTGCACCTTGAATAAACTATCTAGATTAAAAATATCGTCTAATGCTTGCTCGAGGGTGGCGGCTAACTTTCGATCCAAATCGCTGCATTTACTTTGGAAATTTTCAAAATCTGCTTTGAATTTCTCACATTCGGGATCTAAGGGATCGTAACGTACTGACCCAAAATTCGCGTACATTGTAGTGAAATTTTCATAAATCTGAAAAAATTATAATGGAGAATCAAAAATAAAAAACGATAAACGATAGGATGGGAAGAAAAAGTAAAATATGAAATATAAATATAATATAATTTGAATCTTATCAACTATAAGATTATTTTAATTTTTTTTTCCATTTAATTAAATATATTTTGAAACGTACTGTATCTGACAGTCTGGTAAGAGATCACAGTAAATATTTATACAAATAGCTCATAATAGTTGATTATCTAATTTATTTAACATTTGTTATTTATAAAGATATGAATATACACATGCCTATATACACATACAAAAATACAGGCAAAAAAAGAATAACTATAACAGTATTTTTTTCTTATATAAGGCGATAATTAATTTTGTTTATTTGCAATATGCTTTTTACTTCAATTTTGATTTCATTTAAATCTATGGATCATTTTATTTTATCCGTTATACAGCAAACTGGCTTGTCTACATTTGGCTTTCGACTGTTTAACATATAAATTATCTGTCTAGTTTCATGGTCATAAATATCCTGATTTGTTTTGAATTTTGGAATATGTTTTGATTTCATGTATTAGAACACATTCTTCTACTTAAAGTGATACGTTGTTTTTTAATTTATTAGTGCTTCTATTGGGGTGAGATGAGGTAAACGTGGGCAGAATGCACATTTTATAATTGTCATGATTAGGCAACAGAGAACACAAGATAGATCTAGTACGTTGCCTGGATCAATTCATATATAAATAAAAAACTATAAACCTGACTACTTTTAATTCTTTTTTGAGGAGCTTTTTTTTAAATTTATATAAACAATCTTATAACAAGGAAAAAATTAGGGTGATTGTTAATAATGTTTGCTGAATTAGTACGGAATAGTTTATACCAAAAATGTAATTACCACACTAATTCATCGAATAAATAAATATTGTTACAAAATCATAATTTAATTACTATTTGATATACACAATAAATATAAATTCATAATGACACTGTGTGATTACTCACCTCAGCGATGCGCATCCCGAGCGGTCGGCCTGTTACACCTCCTAGTTCCACTTTCTCCAATTTCAAGAACTCGATGGCTGTTACCAAGATATGGTCCAGTAATCGCAATCGTTCACAATAACGGTCAAAGCGTTCAAATGCCGCGTCTGTGCGAAATGTCCAGCCGCTCTTCGGCGGTTTGAAGTCGCGGGTCCGGGCTAGGGCGCATGGGTTGACGCGATACTCTTCGAAAGTTTTCCTGAAATAAATCATTATGAAACATACAATTTATCCTTATATAATAATTATATATTAGAGCCAGCTGTGGTGTAATCGGTGAGAAGATGGGTTAGCACCAACTAGTCTCGAGTTTGATCCCAACCGCAGTCAAGCTCTATATAAGGCAGCATGATATCTAACTTCTAATTGAGGTTATATATCTTAAATATAATCTATAGTGAAAACTGCCTTGTGCGAGCATTGAAGAAGACTAGTTAACCACTAGGTTACCCTCTCAAAGAAAATAACATATTAGCAATGAAAGTTAACAATTACAGCTCAAAACTAGTGGGGCGCATTACATCGTGCCTTAAGCAAATTACTGGAACTTCTCGTTTATTTTTTTTTATAAAGATTAACATTAATGAGATAAATTTATTCTAAAAAAATTAGATTTTTGAGAAACTATAAACTTTTGACAAAAATTTACTTTTTTTTGAAAAAAAAAACTTTTTGAAGAAAAATTTATTTTAAAATATTTTGGAAATTCTGAACTTTTTTTCAAAGCAATCGTACTGCTTTAACTGCATAGAGACGAAATATAGAAGCGCGTAAGCGCCGCGTCGCCGTCTAACGGATAAACATTGGTACGGAACCCATAGGAATGTAAACGAAATTTATACTTATTGTTAAAATCTTTATAAAATATCTGCTAATTTGATGTGCATATGTCTAATGATCATTTTTGACCGCCAAATGACATTTTTTTTCTCTTTTGTCACTAGATCTCCGAAACCGCTAGACCTGCCTTCATGAAAATCAGTTCTCTATCTTATTATTACAAGTAAAATGTTTTTTGAATTATTCAAATCAGACGCTCCGTTCTCTTAAAAACTGAGTTACCGTTTTTGGCACTTTTTGCCCCATATCTTCGGAACGGCTAGACCTGCCTTCGCCTAAAACTAATCAGCACGTCTCCTTATCAATACGTATCGAATGTTTTTTTGAATTATTCAAATCGCTTCATCCGTGTTCTCGAAATCGCCGATGAAAATTTGTATCCACACACACACATACATACATCCATTTTTTCTAAGGTATGCCACAATGTTCAGAAGGTTTTGAAACGTAAAGATATATAAAAAAATTTATTTTTGATTTTTTTGCGATTACTATAACTTGCCCTACGGGAAGTTAATAAACTTATATAATATTGCTATAAGTTTTTATTTTAAGGGGATGATAAATTAAACCAGGTTTAAATTGTTTATCAACCCACTGTCCTTACTAGATCTTAATTGAAAACTTATATGAATATATCACTAACTTTCAATTAAAGTTTTTATAACACATTTAAATTTCATAATTGTTTCATAGAATCCATAATTGATATAAATTGTAATGATCACATACTTGAATAAATCCAGCAGCTTAAGGACAGCCGCAATTTTCTGATGGCCATCGTCCGGCTCTCCTCGTAACAGTGATCTTGTATCTAAACCTTTCGAGCACTGCTCTATCACCATGTTGCATGTCAATCGAAGTAAGGTGACAATTCTGGCATTTTTACAATAATAGCGACAATTGGCCCATAATAATGTTGTACAGTGAAGCATAGGTTTTATAAGAGGTCCAGAATCCGCAAATGGTGTTGCTTCGAATTTCTCGTAATGTGGGCGCATAGGATGAAGGTAGATGCATATTTCTCGTGCTTCGTTAAGAGCTAATAATTGATGAAATGATACTTAAAAATATTATAAAAAATGAATTAAGATTGTATTTCTGACCTGCAACACAATCTCTGAACATTTTCATATAACATGGATAAAACACACTTTGTGTTTTTTCTAATATTGCTGCCATTTTTTTAATTCGGGGGTCTCTAAGCTGGGTGTAGATATACTCTAAATTTCCCAGTCTGGTATCCCAGAATTCTAGTTCTGCGATAGGTCCTGGTTCATCAGGCATCGTGCTTGATTTGGCTGAGTTTTGGAAGAATTTTGTAGAATCTTCACCTATAACATCTGCAAGTCTGCGTGTCCATTTAATTACGACGCCTTCTATTGAAGCTTTCAATTTTAAATCACAACTAGAGAAAAATCATATATAATAATATTATTATACATATATATTAATTTATTAATATTTAATTAAAATTTCTGTATAAATCAATCTATACATACTCTTCAGGGTTTTCATCGTCGGGTATACTTTCGACTCCAAGTGGCATAGGCAACATAGTCTTGCTCTCCACATATCCCCGAATCTAAAATTGTATAGCATTTTCGATAGAAATTTACTTAAATTGAAAAATATAGTAATATTTGATATTATATAATTAACAAAATATTAATATATTTATTTACTTCATGAACACTATTCAGAATCCCTTTAAGATGCGATTTGCAATCTGTTCGAACTACTTCAGGCCATGTTTCCGTATTCTGTTTATTACTTAATAATGGTGTTATAATTTCTTCAATGAATACTCCAAGTTGTTCGACCGGTTTAGAACTCAAATCTCCACAAACCATCATCTGAATAATAATTAATCAATTTCAATTATTAACTTTTATTTATAATTGCTGGTTTAAAGCATGAATCATAGACGACTGATATTCAATTCAAATGTTGTGATTTCTTTCTATACTTTTTACAAGAGACTGCAATATATTTTAATATGGATTTTAATATGTAGAATAAATTTAATTTATTAAATCTTATTTAATTCTTCATTTACTTTAATATAGAGTTTCCTGTAAATGATTGTTTAAGTAAATAATTACTTATATTCCATCGGCGCTATATAAGTATTTCATACACAATGTAACAATTCGGCAGTATAAAAAAAATGTGCATTACTTTTTGTGTAAAATAATATAATATCAATTATATAATCAAAGTCATAAAAGTCAACACATGCCACTAGATTTGTTGCAATATTATTATGACTTGTTTTTATTACAATAATTAATCGTTTCTAAGAAATGATTAGAGACTCTTGCACGCATTTCAATGATTTGTTTATAATTTTTATTGTCTCTTACCTCATCATAGTTTTCTCTTGAAATTTTTACCGGGTTTACACGAACAAAATAGCAACTTTTAGATCTGCTTACAGTTGGAAAAGTAAAACTGGGACACAATGATCCCGTCGAATTAATGTAAAAGAATAAAGTCGGAGTTTTTGGATTCCTGAAGTACTGTATTATCATTTCCTATAATAATTAATAATTTGTAATTTAATATTTATATTTTTCATATATATGATTCAAGAATAATATTTATGTATGTCATCGTGTATTATACTTATGTAATATGGAATTATGAATTTCATTACATGTGACTCATGTGTCTACATATGTGTATAATTTCATAAGTGTTTGTACATAAGCTGTATGACCTCGCACAATGTTAAATGTAAGTACTAATAAAATGCACAGATATATCACGCATAAATAGAGATCTATAAATAATTTGAATGAATAATTATTTCTAATAATACCTTATAATCTTCGATGGACAGCATCTTCTGCCATTTATCAGATTTCAATCTGAGGCTTTTAGTTACGTAACGTTCAAGAAAGTCCAATCTGGGGTCTGAGTCGTCACTCGCCGCCCCTTTCTTGGAATCCGGTTCAACATCCATATTAATTTAAAAACGATTTATCAAAATAAAACTACCCTTACGATACTCCCGTTCCCTTTCTATTCTAACATGTCAACTGTTTGCGGTTAAAAGAGGCGTTAATATGAATTTTTGATTTACGACCGAAGTATGAACTTATTGCTTGAGGTGTGCAATAATTTTGGCGTACGAAAAGGTGTGAAACAAATTATCGTTGCCCCTGGTTTCCTAGCTAGGTGCTATTTTAATAGATATCGATCTATCAGACACTCTATTTCACTATTTTATACCTATCGAGTTCAGACCTTACAGTATTCGTAACATCTAAGTAGGTGTGAAATGCAACGCTCACGCACAGGGGGTTGTTTGAATGGGTTTGTTTGCCTTTGGTAATGTGATTTGCGAATTGAATATTATATATACATACATATATATATATATATATATATATATATATATATATTAGGGTGGTCCTTAATAGTCATTTTTTAATTTTATTGCTCCTATTTAGAGAGAAAAAAAATCTCTAAAAGTTTTAGCTCTTAATATTAACGTTTAGATAGTGCGCAATTCAATCAAAGCTTCGTGTGGAAATAGCACAGAAAAAATTTCGAAAATTTTAAAAATATTTTTTAGGTATAACTTAGCGACAAATGAATTAAAAGTAACAATTCGTGTCATCTTTTATTGAAAATTCGACGCTCTGCGAAACAGTTTTTTTTATAATTTGTTTTGTAGAGCGTCGAATTTTCAATAAAACTCATTTATTTGTTCGCTAAGTTATATCTAAAAATTGTTTTTAAAATTTTTGAAAATTTTCCCATGCTATTTCCATACAAAACTTTGACTGAATCGCGCACTATCTAGAAGACGATATTAAGAGCTAAAACTTATAGAGGATATTATTGGGAGCAAGGAAATTCAAAAATGTCCATACGAAGGACCACCCTATAACAAAAGTATATATAATAAATTCTTAACAACTTAGTATAATTATCAATAACTATGTTAGTTTTATCAATAACTATGCCAGAATTTGAACTTGCAAATATTGAATCATATGTACAAAATATGTAATATATAAACTAGGTAAAGTACAAAAAATGAATCTTATAACTGCGTTAATTGAGAAATACCTCACCGTGATGATAGTACCAAAAAATGAAAAAAAAAGATAAAATGGATGTTTCCTAATTAGTAATCTTGAAATAGGTCATTGAGTTTTTTTTTTAAACTTTTGTTTATGAACTTGATCAAACAACTTCCTTGCTGGAATATTAGAATGTTTAGTCAGCTTATTTTTATACTTCTGTCTGACTATACCTGATAAAACATTATATAATAAATAAATATGCATTGTAAATTTATTCATAAAATATAATTGATACATAAGTATATTAACATCATAAATATTAAATATGACTTTCTTCGGTAATGCCTATATATTTACTGAAATTAGTCAATAAATAAATACAAGGAAATAAAAAAATGATAGTTGTTACAAATATTTTAATATTTTTATTTGTTATTGTTATAACAATTATCATTCTTTATATTTATTTATACAACAATTATTATTTATAAATATACATAAATTATATATTATTACGAAAAGCACTTTTGTTGCGATTGTGTATTGTTCATTGGTGCGATTAATTATATGAAATGTTGAAATTACATTCACTAATATTTACAGCAAAATCGACTTTAAATATCACAATAAAAAAAGTATCTATTGCTTCAAATACGAATATGAATAAATATTTGATAAACTATAATTACAAAATAAATTACAAATGAAAATAATAAATTATAAATGAAATTTAGTTAAACAATATCGCATATGTAGATAACGTAGATTTATAAAATTTATAACATAAATTCCAAAACAGTCGTAAATTTACTTTTATAAACAAAATGTAAAAAATACATAACTTATTATAAATTAAGTAGCTTAATACTTAAGTATATATTATAAATTATATTATAAAGGCTCAAATTTCAAATGTATTCCACCAACCGATGCTGTAAGGAACGATTGCGGATTTATCACAAGAGGTATCGGAGTCTGCTCACTTCGTTCAATTTTATAATTCCTAATTATAGTTATCAGTCCCAATCTAGTTTGCATCATACCAAATCTCATTCCGATGCAAATTCTTGGTCCTTCCCCAAAAGGCAAATAAGTGAAATGGTGACGTGAACTTTTTGCTTCTTCTGTGAATCTATCAGGGTCGAATTTTTCTGGATCTGGGTAAATTTCTGGATCGTGATGCAAACCGCTTACAGGAATGAATACACCTGTTCCCTTTGGTATCCATGTGGTTGTTCCCGGAAGAGTATAGTCTTTGTTGCATTCGCGATTTAGCACGGGTAGTATAGGATATTTACGCATAGTTTCTGTAAGGAAATTAAATCATACAAATAATTTATTAACTTCATACCATTTTAATAAGTTTTACTGTAAGGGTTTCATTGAAGATAAACGCAATTGTTTGATAATTATTATTAATAATTTCAATTAATTTTAATTTTTGAATAATTAGTTAATATTCTGATGTCATATCTTCATCTACTTCGTAATAACCACACTATCAGAATAATACAATATAATACAATAAATTATAAATAGAATACACTATATAAATAGAATTTTTCTGGTTGTGATTGCGCTTACCGTAGATAACTCTGTCCAAATACTCCATCTGAAGTATGCACTCATATGTCAGTTTCCCATCATGTTTGTCCAAAACTTTATTGATTTCTTCTCTACATTTTTTCTGAATTTCTGGATTTATAGCTAATTCATATAAACAAAAACTCATGGTAGTTGAAGACGTTTCGAAACCTCCAACAAAGAATACAAAAGCTTGTGCAGCAACTTCGTTTAACGTCAACGCAGTTTTGTCGTCTACAATTTCTCCTTCCTCGTGGTCATCTAAGCATCCTTTACTTTTTAGTTGCATCAGGAGTTGTAAAAAGTCATTACGTTTAATATTATTTTCTTCTCGATATTTCATGGTTTCACTAATTGTTTTAAAGAAAAACTTGCTCACGATAGGGTCTATGAATGCAACTCCTAATTTACGTGCTAGGTTTTGATTTGCAGCACTAAATACGCGCTTGATTGTCAACCATAAACTACCTCTGAACATTCTTTTACCAATTTCTCTAAATTCAGCATCTGGATTTTTCAAAGTATTACATTGGATTCCCAGGGCGCAAGAACCAATAATGTCCGTGGTAAATCTGGCTAAAATATCTTTAACTTCAAGGTCTGGATTCTTAGCTACTGTTTCCTGCATGTATTCTTTTAATTCATCTGCACTTTCGATCATAGTTCCGTACATCATTTTCATTTTTCCTGATGTGAACGTTGGGGATAATTTCACACGCAATCTCTTCCATTTTTCACCTTCTATAGCGAACAAATGAGCTGATAGGGGATCATCTTTTTCATTGTAAAACATTCCATGGTTTTGGAAATATTGAAAATCTTTAACCAATATATTTTTTATTGCTTCAGGATCTAGCACAATCAGTCTAGGTGTAAACATCATGTAAAATCCCGCGTAAGGTCCTTTGGTTTTAAACTCATTGTATATTTTCTTTACAGCATTTCCTATTGAAATTTTACCACGAAACACATCACCGAAATTGCCAACAATAAATGTTGGTTTTTCGCAGGGTATGTTTCTAGATTCCCAAAACGTGAAGGCTTGTTTTAGTTTCCAGTACAAAAATCCGACAACTAAAGCGGTAGCGGCAAGCCACCAACTTACACAATTACACCCACTCATAATAAATTTTTGAAATTTTAATTGTTTGTATTACAAACGGTTTTATTTAACCTTGTTTATTTTTATTATATAATAACGTTAAATTCATCATGACTTGTTGAGCGTCCGGCTAATACTGATTCAATAAAAATGTACCTAACACACATGAACACTAATTTCCATGTAAGATAACGAACAACTGTGACGTGTCAAATAATCGATATGCATGACTTGCAGATACTAATCAGACAAAATTACAGCATGCAATATGAAACAAATATAATATTTCAAATATCACAAATCACGGTGAACACACTAAAAAATTCTTAAAATTTTTGGAACAAATTTTTGTTCCACGTATTTATGTTCTGATTTGACAACATAATAAACTCAATTAAAGAAAGTTTCCTGGCCAACTATTCGTGGACAACTGGTTATGTTAATATTTACGTCCGGAGACTAAGGAAAGACGCTCCAAGGCCATTGTTAAAAATCTTCGTGGAAGGGGCCCCCTTGCTTGTACGAAAAAACCGGACATAGTGCGCATTGCTCATAAGATGAATTGTCATGATCGCATCTGTGTAAACGTGATGCAATATTGCGTAAGAAAGGAATTTGTATTATAAACGAAGTACAATGACCGAGATTATTTTATTGTTGTAGTTTTCATTTATATTTGTTATTGATTATAACACCAAAAAACGCAGTATTTATAAAAAGTTATTCTCTTAATTCTAAATAAATCTAGTAATTCACAAAGAATATTTATTAACAAATACATAACATTTCACGACTTTTCATAAAAAAGATCATTGAGGACAGATTTTGTAAGAGTCAGACATTAATCACTGCACTTTGTTTGTATTAATTATTAATTTTTTTACAACATGATATATTAATATTTTTATGCTACCGATCTTCTAAATTTTCAAATATGCAATTTTATGACTGAACTAACAAACACCATATTATATTTCATATTCAATTATACAGCAAAAAGCATGAAACACAAAAATATATTTACAACTAGCCGGCCCGACAGACTTCGTCCTGTCAAAAAAAATTGTAATATGGCGGTGTTTTGTGCCTACCTTCTTTCTATTCTTTGCAAAAAATTATCCTGAACAGAACCGTCACCCTGGTAATCATTCGGTGTGAATTAAAAATATTTAAATAAAACACTATAAGCATTTAAAAGTAAGTAATTTTAATAATGTACATCAAAATTCAAAAATCAGTTCGATTTTTATTGTAGTGCTTTGTGATAAACGATGTTTTTTGTTTGATTACCTGGCGCATAGACAAACAAATCTGATGGTTTTCCAATATGGGAACAAACAGCATACAATTTTCCATGTGAGAAACATGGGTTTTCTAAATTAATACCACAAACACTTAATGATACCATAAACGCATTGGGATGCATGGTGCGAGAACATCTTCTGTTTTATACTATCCTTTGAATATAGTTGGTATATTTTGCAACATTGTAATTGCCGATCCAACCTTTAATTGAAGATTGTGAGGTGACAATCCTAGCAAATCCAGCGAGTTTAAAAACTTCGGTGGATCGTCTTGGTTAGTTGCCGAATCAACTGATTCGCCTGAAATTTGTTCTTGAATTTTGAAATTTAATTAATTTACATTAATGTTTTTGGCTGCCAATATAGCTTGATTAATAGAAAGATATTTCTATGTTTATATAAATATATTCAAAATTAGATTATCAAAAACTACACAAAATGTCATGACATAGATCATTGTTTTTTTTTACAAATTGCGTTGCCTACTCGATTAAAGAAGAAAAGGGCTGTTTTTAGGGTTTTCCCGGCAATTATTCGTTTTTTCTCGCCGTAACAACCATCCTTGGACTTCAACGAACATTTTAAAAAAAGAATTGGCCAAATTGGTCCAGACGTTGTTGAGTTATGCGCTTACCAACACATTTTGCGATCCATTTTTATATATAAGATAAATAAAAACAATCACTAATAATGAGGTGACCATACGGCATTCTAGATTCTCCCCCCATGCCTAACGGGATGTGGGAACAAGAGGCAAGACATAAGCGTAGGTTTTAGTCGGCATTATACCTAGACTCTATTGAGACCGACATACCCAGACAAAAGATCCAGTATGGGTGCCAAAATGTATTTCCTTCGCTATATATAAAAAACTAATAACGGCGATTCATATCAAATATGATGAATTCATATTAATTATTATATTATATATACACAGTAACAACAAATAATTATAATATTATACATTTAACATAATCTAAATTTATTTGTGATACGTTAGTAATTTATTACACTATTCTTTTTAATTTTTATTCATTCATCAACATCAATTTGTCTACTAGAATATATTGATTATCCTGTTAAACGCGTGTGCATTGCAATTAAAAAAAATACTAAAGCAAAGTTTTAGAAAAGGAATATAAAATCTATTCTTTATTTCCCCTTATGTTGCCGAACTGACCCCGTGACCTAAATACTGCGTTTGTGATAATAATCGACTAACGCGTGCAAATTCAAACGGTTACAACCCTAATCGAAATTTTATCAAACAGACCTAAGTTTGATATTAGCAAAGAATTATATTATGTTGTGACTTTCATGTATTCTCATTATGACCCCTAACCTTTGGTAATCTGGAGATCTAGAGGTTCTCTATTTTTGGGTGTTTCTTTATAATTTTTCTGTGCATACCTTTATCAATAAAGTTTGACCGTATCATTAACGTATACGGGTCAAGGTAAAACCCAATGCAATCAAAGACCGAAATATATTTGGATATATTGCAAGAATTTCACTTTGTTTTCGATAAGATCGAGTTAAGAAAATTGCTCGAGGAAAGCTGCCTTGACACTATTATGATTGAAGGAATATGATAAATTACTGATAAATTATAATCTTAATGATGCTCATAAACAGTGGAATAACTATGGCATGATCATGACGTATCAACGAAAATCGCCACGTTGTACTTGGCTTTATTTTAATAAACTTCGAGGCTTTTTAGCGTACTAAATTATAAGTCGTTTATGTCCCAGTTCTGGCCATAATTATCCTCTCTTATTGTTAGTCTAAAAAAGTCGATCTCGTTCCACATTTACAGAATCGATTCTTTTTTTTTTTTTTATTAACTCTTTTATTTACAACTGTCCAGTATAGGACATTCAGTAAATTTGATGGATTTACAATAGTCCGCCGAAAAGGTACATTGTATACTACTTTGACATGTTGGAAAAAACAACTCAGTAGTTGTTTTTTCGATGTAAAATTTACAATATTTACTTATTAAATAATTTCTTATAAATAATGATTAAGTTATTTCCATTTATTTCTCAGGAGAGTTGAAGGCTTAAATCCAGTGGCGCTTTTCTTTTCAACCTTCTACGATAGTTCTCTGTTATCAATGAGTTTGCTAATGTATTTGGGTGATTGATTAGCTTGATTCTATACTTCTGTGCTGTTTTTGTTATTACTTCATTTATGGTAGGTGTATTCGTGTCAGCATGAATCAACCAGTTGGGAACATATTTTGGAGCTCCTAAGGCAATTTTCAAAAATTTGTTTTGAAATTTCTGTATAATATCTATATTGGTCTTATGAGCACTGCCCCACAATTGTATACCATAACACCAAATTGGTTTGAATAGAGTTTTATATAAAAGTAGCTTATTGTATGCGCTTAGTTTGGATTTAGTTCCTAGTAACCAGTAAAGCTTTTTGGTTTTTATCTCAAACTGTTGTCTCTTTTTTTTTATATGAGTTCGCCAATTAAGTTTTCTATCGAGGTATATGCCGAATCGATTCTTAAGAAATCTATGTAAAAATTTGGCGCAAATCAGTATAAAATTAAAAATATTTCTAAATATCTTTTGGGCCGCGATCAGGGGCCATTCTAGGTCAATATAGTTTTGCCTGCTCTACCACCCTATACTTACTACTCATAAAACTGTTGTATTGATATTATAAGAATAGTTTTCATAAGTTACAAATTATCTCTAAATGTAAAGTTTTATTAGGTATTTTAAATCTCTCATAATATATTAATAAATAAATCATATTTTTAATTTTTAATATTGTATCATGAGAACAAACTTTTTTATAATAAAACTTTTATATAACTGTATTAATATTTCTCTCAGATATTCTATTTTTATTTCATTTCATAATAAATAAATACTAGGCAAAACTTCTATGAGTGCATTTCAAATAATAATTATACCAAACCTTTCAACAGTTGAAAGAAAATACAGTTAGTCTTTTATATGTACAGAGTATTCATCATAATATATTTTTATGATAACAATATTTAGCACTTATATATATATATATATATATATATATATATATAAATATATACATTTCAATCAATAAAGAATAAATAAACCCCCCTACTAATATATGAGCGTATAAATAGATATTAGATCACCTGACTTGCAACGATTCAATCAAATCAAATAATTCTTTTGCAATATTTAATAATAGGTTTTACTATTATAGTATCACAAATCAAAAACATGCTCGCGTTATATCTAGAACAAATGTCTTACTTTTAATATTATTTTTCGAAAAAGGTTTTTTGTCGGAGTAAAGCATTTTAATTACATATTGTATATTTTACATTAATGATTTCCTGATATAATCCATAACTAGACTATTGTTTATGTGCGTGCTTGAATGTAGTAATAATCATGCAAATATCTGCAAAGTTTTGTGCGTGTTTGTATCCATTATTACGCATATCTAAACTTCATGTTATGAACTTCAATCGGTAATTCTAGTAAAATACATATAAATCGAGTAATATTTGGAGAAAAAAGCTCAATGTCCGGTGGAGCGCGCGCGCAGTGTTGACGGTTACGAAGACCACGAGGTTTGGAAAGCTCCATTCGACAGTTGGTCCTTAAAGCTCGCGACCAAAAGCTCGGTCGAATTATTTTTCAAATAGACCATAAACGGGAATTATTTTATATTTTCTTTTTATTGCTAGATTATTTAAAGAGACCTATACATTTTTATAAAAAAAGTTAGATTAACTTTAATCATACTGTGCAAACTTGTATGATAACTTTCGTAAAGCTACACTACAAACGTATGTCAATTTAAAAAATATAATTGTGTGTTTTTGTAATTAATGAAAAAATAATATATATCGTCACATGAGTTCATAGTGTACCGTAAACTCTGTTTAAAAGGCATTTACAGGTACGTTATCTTTAAGAAATTATAAATATGTAGAACGTAGAATGACTAATTTATTCTAAACTTTTAAAGATAAGACGTAAATGCGCTTGTTTTTTGCATAAAATTATTTTGTGGATCTCGAACGAAGCGAAAAAAATATAAGTTTTTATTGCAATATTGTTGCAAGTGAAGAAATATTATTATTATT